TATTATAAAATATGTTTTTGCCACTAGGCACTTCAACACTTATGTATAGGATACATTTTTTAAGTCAGTATTAAAAAAATAGTTAGCACTTTGTGGAGGTTATACTAATTACCAAGACTGGACATTAATAATAAGTTAAAAAGTTAAGTTAATAAATCATAATTGTAATAATAGTTATTATTTTAAATATTCACAGAATATAATATTATTATATACCCATAATATAAACAGTAATGACGTTATTGGAGTAATTTAATATTCTGTTGGATTGTATCATTGATTAAAGTATGTATACGCACGTACAATAATTAATTTCAATCAATACCTCATACATTTATTTAAAAATTATAAGACATTTATTGAGTTACCATGTTTGTTAGCTTTAGAAAGGTTTTTATATGAAAAAAAAAGTAACTAATTAACTAATTTAAGTAACTTTTATTTTATAACTAACTTGTAAGTTAAAAAAAGGTGGACAAGTGGGTACAACTTTACTGTACAGCATGTCATTGTATTATTTTATTAAATAGATGTGTAAGTGTAATATTTGAATCCAATAAACCTTTGTATACGAAAATGATTCTGAAAATGCATGAAATTTTCAATTTTGACCTTCCAAAAGTACCAACTATAGATTTAATTTTATATCAGAGAAGATGCTGATCTTGAAAACAGGAAGAAAATTGAAAATAATGTTTGCAAAGTTATGTAAGAAATGAAACAGATTTCAGGTGACCGGACGTCAAAACGTACGCCGTGTGTTCATTCATATTATTTTATATGTATTTTACTGTGACCCGGCAAGGGTCCACCGGTTTTTTGACGGCGTGCTCTTCCAAGCCTGGTCGCCGGTCGAAAAATATGCCGGAGCCGGCGACTGACCGGCCGACGAAAAACGTCACTGTCTGTTTGCCACTAAAACTCTATATAAAAAAAACCGGACGGCAGACGCCGCCCGGCAAAATCCGGTCGTCTGTTTGGACTCTAAATATTGTTTATCAAACAAAACCACCTCATTCGCTTTCAGCAGTTGAGCATGGTAGAGTTTTTAAATAATTCATTAACTCTGGCATAGGCGTGCATATGCGACAATGTATAGAATAACTATTATTGTTTTTATGGTTTGTTATTATAGACCATGTGATCATATTATATGATATATATCTATCATATGTCTACTCTAAAACTATGTGGGATTTTGGATTTTGAGGGAAGCGAAGAAGCTAAGACGTATATTTTCAAAAACTTAGATTGTAGACCGTGTCCTATTCCTATATGCGGTAAAAAAAAAGTTTAAAGTCTTAAAATTGTTTTTTAGAATACAATTATTTATTCTTTCTTTTGAATTCAATAAAATAAAATTGTATCTTATCCTAGGTGCGAAATATGTTCTGTGATTTTTTTTAGTTAGGGCCGGAAAGGCTTTTTTTGAATTGCATAACCTGCGAATAAAGTCTGCGCACGCTTATGAACTCTGTCATACATTGACTTAAAGACATATTTTAATCATCTATAAAAATTAAACTCGTTTTTGGCATCATCTTTATTAAGTATAAATCGATTGCACAATCGTTTGATTTCGTTTTCTCCATATCTTATATCTACATTTTCGGCCACTTTGTAACATCTAAAATTATCATATCTCTAATAACTTCTAAATCTTGTTCGTTAACTAAAAGTCTTGATTTTAAAGTATTAAATAAACTATAGTAATAAATTGATTCTTATTAATATTTTACAGCTTATAATTAATAATAAATTAATATTTTCAAGTCTTTTTTTACTTCTTTTTTGTTTAAGTCGGATATTCACAATGCATTAAATATTTACCAAGTTTTTTTATTAAAAAAAACATAAATTTATTTATTTATTTATCTATTTATTTTTGTTTTTTATATGTTTTTATACATTTGAACGCAATTAAAACTCTAATAGTCCGATTAATATCTTGGTATACCTCAATTAATGTTAATGGAAGATTTTGATGTAATTCTTATAATATGGATAGTTCTTAAAAACTCCATGCTTTTTTTAAATTATAGATATAATTCATACCTATATGATCATAAAATAGGTACGTAATAAAAATGTTATTGAAAAAGTATAAAAAAAAAATTTTACGTTACATTGAACTCCTTAGAAAAGATACACCTTATTTAATTGTATATGTAATATATGTATTATATGTAATCTAGTATACACTATATGTAATTGCCGTATATACACCGTACTACGTTATTTTTTTTAGGTATAATCAATATATGAAAACATCGAAAACCAAAAAGTGAGTATACGCCGTATACCCCGTATAGCTAGGTAAGTCCGAATACAACACTGATAAGGATGTTAATTTTTAACTCACAATTTGTTTTCTTTCTCTAACCCACTCGTCAACATAATAAATTTGCATTCAGCACTTCAGCAGAACCAACCTTATAAATTATAGGTTATTATTATGAATTATAATATTAGCTTTATATTAAGAAGACACCAGCATGTATTGTCTCCGTCTGCGTAACATAGCAAATTGTACGTTCAGCAGATCACGTTTAGCTCCGTTAGTTTAAAAATTAGAGTACATTTACCTCTTACAAAATTTAAAAGTGGATTATTATTATTATCTAGCCATCTTATAGGCTTTTTATTATGTTTTGTTTTAAAGCGAGTTATGAGTATTTTAAAGTTGTAAATTGTTTTTATATCTTGATTCTTGAGACAACACATGTGGGTGCTCTTAAAGTGAATTGACCTATCAATCTATCATCAAACTTTTGTTTAGTTTTTCACTTAGATTATATTATATTATAATCGTCATCCACGAGTTCAAATAAATAGTTTTTATATTGCATTTTTTATACTTTGGGTTTCAGGTCATTTTTTAAATGTACAGAACATTTTTATACTTTATTGAAATCCAGGCAATATTATTATTTGTTTTCATTAACACTCGATGTTTAAATTCATAATAGAAATAATATCGTAATTCGATATTGTCATTTTTATAAAAATCCACTGATCTTGTTTCGTTAATATGCTTTAAGATGCCTCATCGAAACACAAGATCTACCTCTCATGTCCCTCATGCCACCACAAACTTTTAATTTTGTTTAACGAACCAATGAGAAGGTTGATGGGGAATGCGAAAGTGAACATTAATTTTTAGTTTGAAAACATTTTTCCTACATTTAATTGTTGTATATATTTAATTATGCATGTATATACTTAATTACTTTTATAATTTACTTTAAACACATAATGTAAAAAAGGGCCTCACCATGACACTATGACGCCATTAATAAATAAATAAATAAATAAATAAATAAATAAATAAATAAATAAATAAATAAATTACAAAAAATAAATTAAACAACTTATAAAACTTTTTTATTTAAAACAACATAAAATCATAAACTTTAAATAAAGATTTGCTACTGGTTTTATAGTGAATAGTACTTACTAAACTTTAGTGAGTACTTATCCAATTCTTGGGTCAACGACATAGTTTTATTATAATGATGCAGACGGATTTGAAATATTTTTGATTAAAAGCACGTCGTTTACAATATTGAAAGTGTTTTTTTTTACCAGGATATCTTTATTAGGGCCAAATATACCTAGCACTTATAATGCTTATATTATATTGTATATAAAAAAAAATTAACTTGTTTTGAGTTTTAGTGTTGACATATTTTTTAAAATTTTTTTTTTAATCTAGAATTTATACAATCTGTACATAACAAAAAGTACAATAAACATAAATGATGTTTTTATAAATTATAGTATACATGTAGGAGCTTGAATATCTTAAGGGAAGAACCAACCAGCGAAGGCACTTCGGCGTGAATTAATTGACATATTTACTTAACAAATCATGAACCATTATTTTTCTTTTTGAAGCTCCACTTTCGAAATTTTATTTAGACATAATAAATAATTATCATATAGGTATATTATTTAATAAATTAAAACGCAATTAGCAAAAAGCCACAGTCACAATAGCCAATGAGAAAAGTAAAATAAAAATAATAACAACTGATAAAATATTAAATAATACCATAGGGCATAGGCCATAGAGTAAAAATAAGTAAATGATATTATTGTTTTTATTATATTAATGTTGATGTAAGAGAAAATGATGTCTTACATACATTCATACGCATTGTTTAAACATAGAACAAATCGAATTTATTACAATACAAAGATATGAACAAATATATATAAAAGTAGATAGTAAATACGTCATACTTAGCTATCACTAATCGAAAAATTAATTATCTATTATTATTGTTGTTTATTTTTGTTATTCAAACATCGATTATATTTATTTTTATTTACATTTTATACATTATTTAGTTTTAGCACAATAGTAAACATACAACAAAATATATATGTATTTATACGGGTATCGACGACTTTATAGTTTATACAGAAGCCCCTAGGGCCTTAATGGAGTATACAAAATACAAATATTACAATTTACAAATACGCATTAATACTGTACAGCCGCTAGGGTGCCAGTCAGTATTATAAAAATTTACTTTTATATAATTATTAATATTATTATTTTTTTATTTCGGGATTGGGGACTGGGGTCACTGAGTATAATATTGATGGGCCTATCGGGAAAATCCCGATTTTCCGATGGGCCTATCCGCCCATGGAAAGTGTATTATTTCAGTATTTACCGTGTGCCATGTGCCCATGTATGAGTTTGAGACAGTGAGACCATAAACCATTATACATGTATAAAGAAGTATAAATGCGTCTAGGGATAACTACTGATGAATGGCTATCGCTAAACACTTAGTCAGTGAGTACTGACTAAGGTAGAAACTATAATCCAACTATCCAAAGTTGTTTACTTGTATCATAAATTATGATTTATAATTAATATTGTTCCACGACACTACCTATCAGTATTAGTTACCGCCGTATTATCATTTACGATTTCGCGCCATCGAAATGTAGAAATTCTTTTATCTCGATGATTCACGCCTTGTAAACATTGTAAACTCAAACCAAGATAATAATATAGTTCATCATTTTATTATATTTTCAGTTGTTATTATTTTCGTGATAATTGATAATAAATGTCACGCTATTGATTTAACCCAAGTTTATGTGTATAACCTTTGAAAATTAAAAAAAATTAAGGATTCCCACCGGCTCTCGATCATTAAAATCGATTTTCTCCGTTTCTTCGTTTTAGCACCATTTCAACAATTCACTAGTGTGTTTTGCATTTATCGTGTACATTCAGAATATAACAGGTATGTATTATAAGTATATTGCTTAAAACAATATAAACAGTAAAATATTCCCAGTACTACATGTTATGTTTTAATTTCAATACCTATCAATATTCTTGAAACTCAAAAGGTACAAGTGCAAGTTTTAAATCTTAAATAATAAATTATATTCTACACTAGTGGTTGACAACCGTATATTTCATACAGCACAGCTTTAAAATTAACTTAAAGATAAAAATCAATTTATTCCTGATATTAAATATTTTAAAATAATGTTACAACTTTTATGTCATTGTATTAACAGTTTTATATTGAGTTGTTGAAACTAAGGTTTATAGCCATAACCAACATTTTTTTGCATAACAAGCTTCAAATGATGATAACAGTGGTCAACGATAAGCATGCTCTAATAGAATATTGTACTGTGTACTTTTATATGTATTCCCAAAAAAGTCTTCTTTCATCTTTCAATGTATTAGGCAAACATTTAAAATATTTTAAAATCACTATACATTTTTTGGAGGTTTTTTAGAGTTCTTCAATGTTCTGCTCGGTTTTTAAAATGTAATTATGGCCATCCTAGTTGACATAGATAGTAAACTAACTTTTTCATGCAAATTAAATTAAAAACCCATACTGTGTACTTAGAGTTGGCATACGTAATGTTGACGTGTAAATTTAAAAAAATAGAGAATAATATGCGATAACAAAACTCACAGTAGGCATTTTTCAAACAATTGTAATTTCTACACTTTCATTCATTTTATTGTAATCTGTATTCTAAAATGTATTATTTATTATTTAAACATTTTTTAAATAAGGTTACAGTTTTTATAGTTGTCCAGCTTGCCAAACTTTTTAATTCTTTCATTTAGACCAGCGTTTCCCAAACTTTTTCTCTGCCGGACCCCCTTAGAGAAAATAAAAAAGATCGCGGACCCCTAAATAAAAATTTAAATTAAAGCAATAATAAATAATAATACTAAATTGTTTGCTTTATTTTTAAAATTAAATACACATATGTTTATAATGAAAAATTGAATTAATAAAAAAAAATGGATAAATAGATATATTATTTTTATAATAAATAATTAATGCGTTTAATGTGATGGATGGTGTTGTTTCTTTAATACTAAATCTGGTATTTTAGGATCTATATTAGAAAGTTGAATACGTAAATCTGATTCTATATTTAATCGATTTCTATATTTATTTTTAGTGTACACATAAGCTGAAAATCCTTTTTCACAGAGATAAGTTGTTGAAAAAAGCATCAATGGCCTTAGTGCTGAGTCCGATATTTCTGGATAGTCTTGTCTTATACTCAACCAAAAAGAAGACAAAGAAGATTCTTTGAAAACCCTTTTTAAATTAGAATTACTGGATATTTCGATTAATTGATTATCTTGTGTTGTTGTTAAACCAGTTATATCAGGGACATCTGCATTAAAAGGGTCTACTACCCAATTTTTATTTTTGTCAGGAACTGGAAAATATTTTCGAAATGAATGTTTCAAAATTTGGAGGTGTTCAATAATTATATCTTTTGTGTCCTGAGGAAAAACTTCATCGGATGATTCTATAAATGCATAAAGAGTTGGAAAGTGGTTAAAATTGTTTTGAAGGGCACGTTTTCTCCATAGCTTCAATGTTATCCTCCGTGTGAAAAATATTGTCTTCTTTCCCTTGTAAACTAATATTTAATGAGTTCAGAGAATTAAAAATATCAGCCAAATAGGCCACTGTACAGAGCCATTCAAAATTATTGAAAAGATTTGCATATTTAGTAACTAATCTTAATTGCTTTTCAACGATAACTATTTCAACAATGTATTTATTATCAACAGTATTTCCCATGTAATACGAATATTGCATCATTATTTTCGTTTTATGGATAGGTATACTTTGTAAATTTTTAATTTACGTTCGCGGACCCCCTCCGGTATACGTGCGGACCCCTAGGGGTCCGCGGACCACAGTTTGGGAAACGCTGATTTAGACTAATAAGTGTTAAAAAATGTTGTGTACCACTTGTTCTACACTATAGGTTATATAAAACCAAAGCAGTAAATGATTATATACAATAATTGTCAAATGGCTAAATTTCAAACCAGCTGTTCATGAAGATTTTTACAAGCAATTATTTAATACACCTACTTTATTTAATTGATACTTAATGGTGTTGTAGTCACTTTTCTTAAGTTATTTATTTTGAATAATAATATTTATATGAAGTTATCATTTGTATAATAGAGATGGGTGATAATAATTCTAGCCCTACTACTACAAAAGTTGATCGGCTTAAAAGTTTCCATCCTGACTGCGACGAATTAAAACAAAAGTATGATCAATGTTTTAATGTATGGTTTACTGAACATTATATGAATGGACATTATAACAACGAAGGATGCAATAAAGTGTTTGAGTTGTATACAGACTGTGTGAAAGTAAGTTTACATAATATACAAACTAACATATTTTTATTTCAATTAATTAATGTCCATCATTATTTCTAATAGCGTGGTATGAAAGAATACGGACTGCAATACGAACAAACAACTACTTTACATTTGGGAACAAACAAAGAAAAAACTGCATTCACGGATACAGAAAAGCCAAAATAGAATAATGAATAACGAGAAAAAGATAGCAATGAACAATCTAGCGGAAAAAGTATAATGATTTTTATTTATTTTTATTTATTGATTGATTTAAATATTATTATGTAACTGAAAATAAAACTAAATATAATTTACAATGAATAATAAATATTAAACTTTGAGTAACTTGTTGTTAGCGCCCCATTACCGCACCATATAAAATTTACCAACCCTCAAGAGGGTTAATAGTCTGTTGTACTCTTATAATTTTTTATACACTGTTAAAAACTTAAAAGTAAATAGTAACAAAAAATTCTTTACAATTAATAGGCTGTAGCATAATATTTAATAATTTGATTAATATCTCATAATTGCATGTAAAAATAATAAGACAGTTTTATAAAGATCCATAAATGTAACACATTTTATTTGTTTTAACGACAAATTTTTGTTGTTCAATTTGAATTCAAGTATTAAATATTGTCTTAAATAAATCATTAAAATTAATTTTTAACAATATTTTATATTAAGTAAATAATGTTTATATTAGATTGGTACCCACTTTAAATTATATTTACCTACAATATAACCAAATATTGTTTAACTCATATCTTTAGACAAGCTGTAGAATCTGACTGCGCTGGGAGGGGGGGGATGAGTAAATACAAAATACACCACTATACTCTGCTACTCATATTGTGTATCTATGAAAGTTCTTACTCATTGATTAAAAATATTGGTTGATTTTAAATAGTTTTTTTAGCTATTATATTTTCATCATAATTATATTTTTTAGTAATATAAAAAAATATTTAACATAATAAATTAAGTTTAATACTGATTAAAATGTATTGTTACTATAGAAGGATTTGCATGCACTGAATAACTCATTAGATATAGAATTGGAAAAGCTGAAAATGAAAAAAAAAGAAAAAGATGAAATTATGAATGCATTACATCAATACAATGACATTAAAGATGCTACTCAAGAAGTTTTGGGAAGACTGGCTATTCTAGAAGGAGTAACTGTAGCAGAAATGCATCGAAAATATAATTTACTTGAATCCGATTGAAGATTACTATTATAATTAATTACATTTTTATCAATTTTTATATTTAATAAATATTACTTTCATTATGGTACTTAACTATAAAATGTGATTAATTTGTTTTAAATTTGCTCAATTATTTTTAAACAAGGTATATGTATATATTCATTTAATTGTATTTATTATGTATTAATCATAGATATATGGATACTGTAACTATTCACTTTAAGTTGAATTAATTGAGTTTATATTATGTTTTTGATTAAATCTACAAGAAAAATTCTATAAAAATTGTAATCAAGTAAAAAAAAAAAATGCTTTGTCTAACAGCAATGCTCAAAACATTTGTAGGCATTTGTACTCTTTATGAATGTAACTAAATACACCTTTTTCAGTGAAATATTAATGCTATTTAAGTTGTATAGTTCAAAAGACTTGAATTGTAAAATATATAGAAATTTAACTATGGTCAATGCATTTATTGAGAATACATTGAAGTTTCAAATTGTACTTAAGCAATTCTAGCTATTTAGAAATCATTTAAATATTATGTTCAGAATATGTTTACAACTTGAAATGTAAAATTATTTTACATTTAGTATCTTTTGGTTATTTAATATTATAGTAAGGAGTTTTAACTGTTTAAAGTCAAGTCTTCCATAAACATATTCAAATCGCTTTTCTAATTTTAATTTGTGTAATCAAAAGTATCTTATTTATTATTATTTTACAGACGTTTAGTTATTAAATATTAAGCTTAATTCGCATTACACAAAATTCTTAGTAATCTAAATATTTAAATTATAATTCTAAACTATGATAATTAATGTACATTTGGAGCCTTAGTTTTAATGTAAACAAATATATATTATTATTGTTTTAGTACAATATAGTAAATTAATTAAAGCAATATTTTCATTCAAATTTTTTTTTTTGAAAATATTAGCAATTTAATAATATCATTAACATTTTATATAGCTAAATCTTTAGTTCTCCTCTACTACTTCTTCAGACTGAGTTTCATTGTCTTGATGTTCGCAACTAGGCCAATTAATAATATGGGACAATAGACAAAACTTTTTCCACAAATTTCTAGGAATATATTATCCAAATATTCTTAGTTTAGTTTAATATGATGTTTCTAAGCATCAACATTTTGTCTTTTTAGTAGTTATTAAAAACCTTTTTATAAAATATTTACTATAGTTGAGTTCAATTATAAGTTATGATTATATCTATACAAATAATCTTCATCAGATTTGTCACCACCTTTATTTGATGTTCAAATCCTAATTTTTCTGTTAAACTAAATAATATTAAATATAAAAAAGGCAGGCAAGTGAGTACCACTCTGATGAACGTAGTTGTTGAGCCTGTTGTTGTAATGGATGTGTTATATTTGAATTCAACAATAAATCATAATCATTACATACAAAAAAACAATTTTGAGCTGAGACGCTAAGATTTTAGCATACTTGTATAAATAATCAAATTTAACAATAAAAAAAAAAAATGTTAATACCTCATGGCTATTAATAGTATAACTTTCCAGTAAACTTTTTTTTTGAAGGTAGAACATTTTTTGGATAATCATCCAACGGAAAGAATTTTTTTTATGAATTTCTAATTGAAAAAAAATTTGAATATTGTAGAGATATTTTGTTAAAATTCATTTAAAAAATAATTTTTTCAATGTATCTTTAATATTTTTAAATTTTAACAAAATATATTCAGTGATAAGTAAAAAAAAAAAATAATTTATTCATTTATTATTGCATTTACGAAGTAATAAGCATTAATTATTGAATGGAATTACAGTGTTCCCAAATGTCCAAAGCATTGCTTAAAATTCCAGTCAATCAAATTCATCTGCTCAATACTAAATTCAATCATTTTAATTTATAAAACAAAAGTTAAAAGTAGAATGGTCATTCAGTCATAAAGGTATTAATAAAGTTAAAAATAAACTTGTAAAAACATGATTATTTATATTTTGAAGTCGTTTAAAGTCAGTGTTAAAATATTTCCTAATTTTCATTAAAAAAAAAAAATTGTATAGCCATAGAACTTATAAGTAATATAATATTAATATTATTAAAACATTGTTAATTAATCAAAAGGTACCTACATAGTATTACATTATCCTTTTAAAACTTGGAATATAAAAACTACTGAGTGTTAAGCTGTTACCTACTCAGCACCCCTTGGAAAACAGTTATAGCGCCGTACCTGAGTGTGTAAAATAACACTTGCATAATTTAAGAATTAAATAATCATAAAAAATAATGTAAAATCATAGATATGAGATAATGTTGTCATGTTAAAGTTTGATTATAGGTCAATTCTTTCTAGGGTTTATACTTTATTAATAAGGTTATTGCCCGAAATTGGAATTACTTAACACAGATTTGTCATATAGTAAATCGCTAAGACGGACACACAACACATATGGGTGTGGCATCCTCTTATGAGTTATTTTCCGAGAGCTTTTTTTTTCGCTGTTCATCTATTAGATTTAGACGTTTACGATTACACGAAACGGCGCCTGGGCAACCCAACGTACGCACAGCCGAAAATTTGCGTCAGTAGCTGTTAACGTCTATCATATTGTTATCAATGGTTGTTGACCCTGTTCATTAGATAACCAATTTACATCGATAGTAGATAACCGCTGGTAGGACGCGACACACTGTGCGCACGTTTTTGTCGGCGATATAATTTTGACAACTTACTCACGACTTGCCGACCTCGTGATATTCCAATACGATCCTCGGCGATTTATTATCGACAGACGTGTAATCGTCGACCGCTATTGTTTCGTCAGTCAACCTAGTTGCAGCACAACATCAACGTGATTCCGGCCGTAAAACCTTTCGCATATCTGTTTGGAAAACGAATAGCGTTTGTTGTTTTTCGTTATTTTCGCATTTGGTCTCACCGCCAACTTTTAAGCACCTCGATCAGCCCAGCGCTTACAATGGTATTACAGTACACAAGCACTGGTGCGTTGGATTTATATGAACACAACACCTCGTCGACGAGTGTGATTCAGATTGACAATGTTAAATTTGTGTAATGTTATAATGTATCTTTATTTTTTCAGCCGTTGACCCACCTGTAACATTGCTAAGAGGTGTAGACAGCTATGAAAGTAAGTCCTTAGTTAATTTGTAGTTTGATCACATCTCTAAGTTGAATTTATAAAATTAACATTCATTTGTTTCAACAATGAATCAAATATGTAAATAGATAGTTACTAAATGCACATATTAGTCAGATACCTATTCGTCTAAAATAATGACTTAAGACCTGTGTTGGGTGCAACATTTAAAAAAAAACAAATGGATATTGTTGAATTTATACATAACATAAGTTGTTACTTTAATTTTTTTTAATTATGTGTAGGTACTTCAAATCAACGTTGTTATGACCTATAACTGTAGAGTTCAGAACTTAAAGCATCATAATCATAATCATAATTTTATTATAGATGATAATAAATGCATAAAAATGTTTTCTTTTATCAACATACCATTTTTTTCTCTTATTAATATATTTTTATTACGTTATTTAAAAGTAAAAATCTTTTTTATTTAAAATATAAATATATAACACTACATTTAAAAAAAGTTCAAGCAAATTAAATTCTAATATACTCCTATATAATATTATTGTTAGTGTACTGTTTAAACCAATTTTAATTCATAACTTCTGAATTGTATTATGAGTGATAAGAATTTTTAGAATAATTTATACAAAATATTATTGCTGAAGTATAAATAAAAACATTATTATAGAATACATAATGTTATACTTTAATGGTCAATTTAGGTACTTGTTTGTTTTTGCCTTGCCACTGCTCGCTATACAATTTATCACCTTACCCCATGGTTAGATGTACTATTCTATTAGTTATAAAGGTACCGCTTGAAAACTTTAAAAAGAAAAAAAAGAACTTCAAATATTTTATTTTCACTTATTTTTAATAGTCTTTACTCATTTTTCATAAATAGATCATGTTCTAAACTACCCTTAAAGTAAAGTAGATGTATAGAGAAATATCAATCATGAATACCTAGATGTTAGTTTGAGTAAACACTTCTGACGCCTGAAGGCTAGGTGACAAATTATATGCGCTCAGTGGCGGGGGGATAACAAACAAATGCTGTGAATTGGAACAATTTATTTAACATACATATATACCAAAGTAGCAAGTAAAAAAATATATTTATTATTTTTGTTTCTAAACTATTAGTGTCAAGTTATGTAGGATAATTTAGTTATAATTAACAATAATCAGCAAGTATTAAACCCACTTTGTTATTATTTTATTACTTTTAAAAGCATAACCTGACTTACAATGCTTAAATTTGGGAAAAAAAACTATGTAAAAAGTGCTAAAAAAATGTTCAAACCTGAATATTTAAATGTCTTATTGATTAGAAATTAGAATATATTTAGAAGGGGTTTGCATATATATATTTTTTAACTTTACTCCTCAGTTCAAGTACATAGGTATGTTGCTATCTAATCTTTTAAATTATTTTACCAATTAGAAAAAATTGTAGTAGAGTAGTTCAAGATAAAAAAAAAACAATGTATCTATATCATATTTTATTTATTTTTGAACACCAACTTTGCATACACTTGTCAGTTGTCACCTCTGAATGCAACAATTAACTACAAACACCATTACCTATCTGTATTTTTCCACTTTAAATGTTGGTAATTTCAGCTGGGTAGTAATTTTAGTAGGTATACAATTTAGCAATAATTTGAATTAAATTATTATTAAATTTAAAAAAATGGTGTGTATTTATTTTATTATTAAAAATATTTTTTAAATTTAATATTTCCTTTTCTTTCAGATGATGAACTGATTGAAAATATGTTACCCGAAGATGTGTGGTTTCATGTGGATAGCCTCTCATCAGCACATGTGTATCTGAGGTTAAAAGAGGTATTATTTATAGTTCAATTATTTTGTTAAATTAACAATGATGTTAATTAATTTTGTTTTATATTTAAATGTGTTCATGTTCAATTTGTCTACAGGGACAAACAATTGATGATATACCTAAACCATTGTTAGAAGATGCATGCCAATTAGTTAAAGCAAACAGTATTCAAGGATGCAAATTAGCTGAAGTTAAGGTAGTCTACACAATGTGGTCAAATCTTAAAAAGTTACCAGGCATGAAACCTGGAGAAGTGTCGTTTCTGAATCCTAGTAGTGTATGTTTGTATTATCTTTTATATATTTTATGGTCAAAGTGTAAAATTGAATCATTTTAAACAATGTGTAATCTATTTATATTATAAAATAGAAAAAATTAACTTAGTATATATATATATATATAACTTAGTACTCTTATTCTTAAACACTAAGGTACAAGAAGCAATTTTTTTACTTAAATTCTGTATTTGTTGAACTTGAATCTTGATAAACATATTCAATTTTAAATTAAGAAAATAAGAAGATACTAAATCTGCATTCATTGTCTCCATCTTACAAACACATTACCATTACGAATTGTAATAATTGTAATTCTGAATAATCTTTTCATAATTTCTCTGGAACCATCCTATGTATAATATTAGAGTGAATTGACCTGTTATACAATTTAGAAGTAGGAATATTATCTAGTGAATCTTTTAAGTTTTGTTTTATATTTTAATTTAATGGGAATTAAAAGCATTTTAAAATGTATGAACAATTTAAAATTTTAAAATTTCCATAGTTTGTTTTTAAATGAAATATAAAAAAACATGAAATTCATCAGATAATTATTTTACTTCTAAATTTGTTAATAGTTTAATTCACCTTGATACTGAACCAAACAGAGTTTATATGGATTACTCTATGATTCACTATGCTATGTTTTTGTAAGACGTAGACCACACACGAGGGTGTAGCATCCTCCTAGTAATTCCAATAATCAAAGTTAACATAAATTCCCAGTTAATGGTTATTTAAATGTAATATATGGATTTCCCTTTTTGATAACCAGTAATATCTTGGAAGTTTTTTGGTTTCTAATTTATAAACATCAATACTTCCTTTACAAGGTATTTCATAATATTTCTTTCTGGTTAGAAATTCACTGTATTTACTTGAATCACACTGTAAAAGGCTAGCAAAATATAATACTGATACAGAATAAGCCTGGAATAATACCAAATGTTGATACTATGTATATGCTTATCGATACAACATGTATTACTTTTATCTGCAGAGGATATTTTTCTTTGAGTTAATAACACTTTACATAAAACATATTTGTCATTTTCTAAAATATCTAGTTGAAGTATAAAATACACACTTTTCTTGAAGGTTTTTAGCATTTTATAAAATAGGTTATCTGTATGCACTAAACTGCCAGTACACTTTGACTGTAACATATATATGTATGTACAATATGTTTTTGGATTTACACAAATAATTCAAAACAATCTTAACTTTTTGTATCCTATAGGTGATAAAGGTTAATGTGAAAAAAGAGAAGACCATTGTTAATAGATTACAAAAGACCGAAAAAAGTATAGTAATTGATTACGAGAGTGCAAGAGCTGACAGGGAACGAAGAGAAATTGAGAAGAAGAAAGCAGCAAGAAAAATTAATTTAGAAAACAAAAAAGAAGAAGAGCGAAGGAATCGCGAAGCTGCCGAACTAAAGTGATTATGAATAATAGTTGTGTGAATTGGGGTAGTTTTAAATATATTATACAAAATGCATAATGAAAATTGAATATTATTCGTATTATATTTTTTTTTGTATTGTGTCTGTACTTAAAATTAATTTAATATGCCCGTTTAAAAACTATAATTCGCTAGAAATTAAATTTTTGTTGAATAAATACTTACAATTGTCTTATAACTTTTAGTAGGGTAATTGTAAATGAGTAAATGTATCCCTATTGAATAGCATGGCATTTGTATCTCCGGCAATATAACATAAAATTGCAATTTCTGATAATTTTAATAGTTATAAGTGTAAATTACATGCATATTTACAATTGCATCAATTCACTAGAACTACTGGAAAATTTTTAAATAATATTACTCTTTTTTTAATCAGCTCATTTGCTAAGTTTACTAACTACAAACCATAAACATAAACAGTATCCAATTAAAAAAATATTTTAACTGTACAAATTATAAAAAAATAATTTTTACAATCACCTCAAGTGTAAATTTATTAGCCGAAAATGTAAACACTTTTGAGTGATGTTATTTAGATGAACACATCAATTTAAAAATTGTATTTTAAATACTATAAAGACAAAACACAGTTAAACTATGCTTATATTTTTTATCTTTAAAATCGATTTTTGTTTTTTACTCTGATTTGACAATCATAAGACTATTAGTTATTTTGATAGATGAAATATTTTATTACATAATCTCAATTTTTCGTTTTTTATACCGATCCATGATTTTAGTTTTTACTTTCATACTATTGTAATAAATATATCAAAAATTATAACTTTATTTTATATAGTAATATTTTTGATTTCCCCAATTCACAATAATTACCCCACCTCACCCTACTTCATTAAAATATGATTCAATTAATATTTCTTTTATTTTTTAATAATTTTCAGGTCTTACTCATCTCTAATGAAAACGGAAAATATGACAGCCAACACTGATTACTCCGGCTATGATTCAGATAGTTTTATGTGAACATAAAAAAAAATTACAAAATAAGTACTTATACAAATTCAGCGAGCTTATCATTATATTATTATTTGTAGTTACTTGATTACACTTGTGTAAAAAAATATTTTCTGTCTGATGTATTTTTCTAAAAAAATTGAGCTTAATTAATTTTTAATTGTATTAAAAATGTTTGATAAAATAAGTGAAAAAATAAATAAAAAATATGAAATAAGATAATCTTCTACACTTCAAAATACCAATACATTTGTACTATTACTTAATTTTAGTAAATTAATTATTAAAAATACTTTAAAATATTATATACTTCCAACAAACTAATAATTTTTGTTTTAAAGTCTATGTAATATGTGTATACCTAGGGTAAACCAGGATATAAAATATTGAGAAAGGTTGGACCCTTAATCTATACTTGCAATAGCCAAGGGTCAGATAGTTATAAGGATCTTCGGTCAATAGCTTCAATATTGTGGCTTGTAGTTTATTATCTGTTTAATATTTTGTCAAAATTGTACTTGCTAAATTTTACAATAAGATTAGTATTACCTCATCTGGTGTTCTTTGATAATTGTTATTACAGTATCTACTTTCTTCCTTCTTTTTTTTTTCTGTAAAATATTAACTAACAACAAAACTTAATATATTTTCTACAAATATGTTATTCATATCTATACAATTTATCAATTTATCAATCAAATACATTGCATATTTTTTCAAAATCTTAGTGTAATACAATAATAATATATACAATTTATATTTTACTCACATAAGCATAAACTATTGATTATTCTGTGTCATACATACTATTCACCAAGAAATTTATTTTAAAATTAAATTGAGTATGTTAATTGAAATTTCATCTAAAATAGGTACATAAAATTTGTTAAATATAATATTTTTTTTTATTTTTTTATTTTTAAAATAAATTTACAATCTGTACCTTGGCACAATAAGTAAATGCGATAAAGGAATAACATAATAAAGTATTAAACATATCTAATCTAATCTATTAACAAAGAAAAAAAAAAATAGTACAATAAGTTAAAATATACATGAATCATTTGTGGAAAGCAGCCACCCATTAGAGACACTTTCATTTGGGAATATAATATAATACTTTTTTCTATTTATGTGTATATTATGTACATTATTTTATATTGAAAGATAAGTAAACAGATGAACCACCATACAATAAGATAACAAAATCATATTATATAAATGTAAAATTATTAAATACAAATTTGCACTTTGAATTTAAAAGAATTTAATTAATATGTATGTTTATTAATGTAAATTTAATATCATACGTTATTGTTTTATAAACATCATCTAAAATGTTGATGTATTCTTACATATAAGGTGAAAATAATTATTTACTGTTGTTTTCATTTTATCTTTGGTATGACAATATAAACTAGGTGTTTAAGTAAAGATCAACAATAAATATTTTATTCTGTTTAAACTGACAATGCAAATACTTTATTTTATTTATATTTTATCCACCTATCTTTTCTCTTTACAGTATGCACTACTTATCTATAAAATCGGTTTTGAACTGAATTAAAAAGATACCTGTAAAGTAACCTGATAAAAGTCCTGTTAAAGTGGTATAAACCATTGAAAGATATGCTGAGGGGGTAATTGGTCTAAATTTTTGTAGCTAGGATATTTAGTAAGCAATAACTATTGAGTGATGAAAATTAAAAGTATGCCTAAGCATTGTAATTTTTTATGTATTATGTGAATATTCTTATTTTATTACATTTAAATTGTATTTGTAATTAATAATAAATTATACTAATAATACTTCTAGTTCCAAAATCAGTAATTTCATTAAAGGCATAACCATGTATATAGGTATACTGGATGATTTTTTAGGCATTCTCACCCCTGTGTTTCTCTTTAATAGTACATTTATTGAAATTCTGATTTTTAGAATTTTTAAGTATTTCTAAACTTAAGACTATACTATGTTCAAATTTCTGATTTTTCTTGTACTACATAAAGAGTGTCCTGTCGAGATACAAACTTCTATTTCTCATATGAGCACCTTTTTTTACTGAAAATTATTTACTTGAAAATGTTTGTGTATCGAAATCGAAATTCTAATGAGTTGTTTCTGAGCTATTAAAATGATTATGCTACATATTATAATAATCTTTAAAAATGATCTTACAGAAATAAAACTATATGTAAAATTAGATGTAGTATTTATTACACTTGAATCATTTTTACAAACTATTTATATACCTAGCAATTACTAGCTTTTCCAAATTGTCCAAGTCCTCTACATACTAAATCCATTACCAGACATATTATCCTTAGTACACAAAATTATATAACTCAAAACCTTCTTACTTAAATTTTGATTTAAGTACAACTAAGTTCTCAAAAAAAATATTTGCTTCATAATTGATAATGAAAAAGGGGGGACGAGTTCCTATTTAAAAAACAAAGGTTTCACAAGATCATCCTTAAGTGGCACAAACAAATCTCAGGAACTCAAAAATATGGTCTGCAAGTATTTTTAAATTTCCAAAAATTACAATTTGAGTATATGCTTAATATAAGCTTAAAAATAGGGTGAGCATGCTTAAAAGAAAGCCTTACATTTTTTCTACATTTTAAACAAATTATTTCTATTTTCCTAATATTGATCATGTTTAATGTATGACATAACAACATATTGTAGTCATAAGGTAATAGCTATTCTGTTAAAACAAAACAATTATTCAATTAAGCTACATTTCAATTGTACATACTATGTAGTTATTATTGAGTATAGCAAATGTATTCAAATTGTGTGCCACGGTTAAAATCGGTATTGTAAATGTTTGTTAAGGAAGCCTTGCTACAAAAGAGTAATAAATAATGATGAAGATTAATATATTATTTTGTAATAAATGTAAAACTTTTAATTTCAGTTTTCTACGCAAAGTTATTATTAAATTTGTAGTCTCGATGTAATTGAAGTATTTATAATTAAATATTAAAATATTTTCTTTTTGTTATGGAAAAAGTATTTAGTATTGTGTAGTATTGTGTTTTAACTCAATAAATTATAGTTTTGACAACAATAAATAACTTTATGGCAAATACGAATGATTTTACTGAATCAAATCTAAAAGTATGGGGATTTGAACAGTCAGATTAACAGTTTAAGGGTAGGTGGACAGTAGATACTACTTATGAATTATGATATTATTATACGCATAGAGAACTTTGTAGGTATGTTTTAATTTGTCATAATAGTACAATATTTGATATAAATTATAATCTTATTAATTACTTACCCAATTTTTTTTAATTTATGAATTAATTGAGTAAATAGTTTTCCTTACTTTAATTGAGCATATGACTTCTAAATTATTACCAAAACTAGGAAAACATTTATTGATTTTCTGCATATGAAAATTTTAGATGAATATTTTTAGAAAATATTGTAAATATTGTTGAAATTGTAAATTAACTAAACGGACATGAGCAACCGAATATTAGCAGAAAAATATATTCAAATGGATGTAAGAGAAAATGCAAGGAAAACCTACACAGGTACTTAGCCAAGTAAGATATTACGAATAGAAATTTCTAAAAATTTATCACAAATCATTACTCTATGATATATCATTAGTTCGAAGAAATATTTAAACGCCAGAAAAAAAATGGTGCCTCCATTACCAAAAATAATGGAAGAATTGCATAAGACTATAAGCAATTTAGATTTAAAAACTGATGTCAATGAGCAGCTTATATAAATCAATGATCGAAACTGTTATACAATAATATTTTCATGTGACACAAATCCAAATGTTACGTGAAAGATGATGATAATTTTGCCTTTAAAATTGTTAAAACTGTAAAACGTAACTACTGTCTACTATGTAATTGCTCTAAATTTAAAAAAAAGCATATTTGCTTAAAAACTATAAGATGATGATTACATTAACATATTATATATTAGTTGAATTAATGGTTTTCTAAGCCACTGTGCAAATAACATACATATATTTTTTTTGGCGCAAATTACATACGCCCAGCTTAGGGCGATCAGACGTCCCGTTTAAAACTGGATTGGATTGTCCCTTTTTTTTACCATAATGTCTCGTTGTCCCGACCGGAGATACATGATTGTGAACGGTACTTATCAGGGTGACTTTTTTAATAGTACGGTTGCGAACGTCTGTATTTCAACAAAAGACCTCCGAAAATGACACGAGTTGCCAAGTTTATAAAATATAATACTTTGATAATCTGGGAATGTGGGAATTCTGCGTGTATTAATTATTGAAGTATGTTACAAAATACAAGTAATTTCTGTTATATTTCTGACAGTAATTTCATCAATAAACAAAGGTCCAAAAAAGATTTAGATAGAATTTAACTAACTGTTCAGAGATATAATGATTATTGATTATAAAAATCACCAAAACGTACTACAATATTTCAAAGAGTTTGATGTCATTATAGAGGGAAACAATTATAAATTCAAAGGTTTATATTGACCAATGAGAGCTGATTTTTTGCTTTTTTTGATTTTTAATATCCAACTTTTTCAAGCACTTATGTAATTGCATTAATACTGTGAACTTTTAATGAATGTGTACAGTAAGCACTTCATTTATTGAGCACTTCAGTTTTTGATTTTTAACTTATTTTATAAACTTAATATTGTGGACTATAGAAATACGACGCCAATGTCATTATAAATCTATTATCACTTATCATCATTTGGGTTTGTATTATTATTAACAATATTATGTAGTCCATGATTTATGAATTACCTTACGTAATTACGTATATAATATATCTTACACCGTGCTGTAGTCTATGCTCGCTAGACATACGCACGATAAGTAGATCATATACAATTGATAATCGTTGTATTTAAACTGCGTCGCACAACTTGACAACGTATTTCACCGAATTTCGACTGGAATCGTGTAATTTTTTGGGTACAAAATAATAATTTTTGTCATACAGAGATCGTCCGTAATTGTGTTGCAAAATGGGTTCACCCGTCCCGAAAAACTTCAAAATTATCGCTTTTTATCCAGTTTGTAGAAGAGGGTCGCTTATTAATTTTTCTATATTGTTACATTGTACCTTTAAAAGAGATCAATGTATATAAAGTATAATATATGCCATTTTTATAACCAAAGTCATAAATAACAGATAGCAATTTTTGTCGAGGGCCGCGGATGCCGAAGAACAATTAAATTAGCGATAAGCTGATAAGCATGACATAATATGTTTTATGGCATATGACCAGCACCACGATCTACGGAACTAAAATAATATGTATACTCATTACTCACACGTATTTTACACTCTACAGTTGTGTGCTTATGTGTGAATGTATACAGTTCAGCCTAAGTTGTATGCCTAAGTTCAGCTAAATAAACTAAATCCTTTGTAGGCGTTGACACTTAAACTGCTCCTCAACACGCTTAAGCATGAAAGTGCTCTGCAGCATACATTTTCAATATGTTGATGGGGACTGAGAGTAGGAGTAAAGATAACCCTTAACACACGGACTGAACCGTTAAGAGGCGAAATAGAATGACATTCATTGACGTTGAATGACATACCTTAAGTATCAGCCCAGGGTACAAGTATTTTTAAGTCACTCTGGAGGAGATGATAATAATTTATTGATTGAATAAAGGAACGTAGAAATAGTCACGAGAATATGCTTAAAGATGAGATTCTTGTAGTACCAGGTTAGCACTATAAATGAAGAGGAAGATACGTAAGGGGGATGAGTGACCACCTTGACCAGTCTAAACGTACTTATTTGCTTAATTTTACAGCACTAAATGACAAAAACTTGAAATACGGAATTGTGGTTCTTATGTGCTTAGAAATGTTTTGTTTCGTTGGGTTAGGTTAGGTTAAGTTATTTGACACCCAAAAAACTCATTGAGATATTCGAATAAGAATAATAAGGTGATTAGGTACTGATTAAGTGATGTATGAAATATAAATACTTATTATTTTGTGGTCCTCCTTAATTTCTTCTAGATTACCTATTGGCTATTCATAATTTTAGGGATTATGAGTATCTATATTATGAGCATAGTTGGTATAGATTGCCGGTAATTGTAAGTTGCACCCCGATACCAACATACACAAGTGCGGCCCATATTTCTGTTATGTATTATGTGTACGTTAATTGCGTAAAAAATAACATGTAATAATATATTATAATGTTTTTATTGATAAACTAAGTCTAAGATTCGTTTTAAAAGAGTATAATATAAGGTTCTGCCTGTTAAATTTTACTGTTAAGACGCATAACGAACACATGCTTGTATAATAACCGTTCTACTCGTATAATAGTTCACGAATAAGTCAGTGATTTTTTTTTATTTAAGATGAACATAATATCGTGATGAATAGTGAATTATACAAAACAATAAAAATCGTTTTTCACTTGAGACGTCTAACTTGCTAGAAACACTTAAACGAGTTTTCGACCTAACACTTTTTAGTTTTTCATATGTACGCTTTGTAGCACTGGATGCGAAGGCCCAATAAGAAATATACACATTTAAAAATATCGTTGCCCTGGCCGCGCCGGGTGGGACAGCTGGTTACAAATAAAATAGTATTGAAAGTTACTTCAGACTTATTGCTTAACAGTAGATATATTTCAGAAATTATGAATTTTTGAAATTAGGTAAAACAAAATAGAAGTTTAAACGTTATAATGATTTAACATATTGATATAATTGTTTAATCTAGCCGATCACTATTATTTGGAACTCAAGTAATCAATTAATCAGTCGGTGTAGTAACAAACAATATGGTCGTCAGGAAAATCTAAGTAATGAGTCCGAGTATTTTTACATTTAATTCGTTGTTTGTAATATTGTATCATTGCTGGAAGCAATAAATGTTATACTGTATGTAAAACTTACATTCTATCTTTTTTTTTTGATCGGAAAGTATAAAAATCCTCGTTAACCGTTTACAGTTATTTATACAAAAGCATTGTTTCCAAAATGAGTTTAACAAGAGTTGTTAAATTGGTGATACGACCCAACAGAAGTAAGTGGTGATTTTAACCAACTTTTGTTTTACGTTCTTTCTTAATAATGCTTATAGTTTTGATTTTGCAAAAAATTGTTAAGAATAGTTTTCGAATATTACAATTACACATAAAAATATGCCGAGTTCATTCACTTATTTTTGTTTTGTAGCCATTAGTGAATAACTCGATCTAAGATTCACGGTAGGTAGGTATTTATTTGGGAAAAATAATTTATCCAGAAAATCAATCAAATTGTTTAAAAAATATTTAATACTGACATACGGTTAATTTTATATGTGTATCTAACATTAAACTTACAAATTATTATTGGTTGTTTTTAATGTAGAAACGAATCTACTATACCAACAATTTTTTGCTGAAAAAAGAAGATACCAGTATTGTCTTTTAAAAAGATTTTGAAAATATTGCACCTACTACTACTTATCGACATTTTCCAACGTTATAATAATTGTGGGTTTGTGCTCACCGGCACAGTTACTTTATAAATGATTGAACATTTTTAAATACTTTTGGTGATAATTGTTTATTTTAATACACCATATTATGTTGTGTGTATACTGTATATCTAAAATTTATTTAATTGTAGGTAATCAAATATAGTATATTTTTATACTACTGTTGTGTACTTTAAAATATGCAATTGTTATAATCTGTTCAGAATAAGATCGAGGGCAAAATAAAATAAAATTTGAACTTACCTATTTGACCATTTCGGATAGAAAAATAAACATTTTAAAAGTACAAAAGCTAAAATAGTTTAAAAATCTTCAGCTTGATTTTTTAAGATAAATAGTATTAATTAAGCCATGATCAAATATTATCTTTACTACAATTATTATATACATAAATACTGAGTAATTCCCTATAATCTGACCTAACGTACGTAAAAATGGTGCTACCTACTAAATCCGTAATTATTACAGTACCTACAGTAACCTACTATACCTACCATACTTCTATGTATTTTATAATATTTATACATTATAGTTAAATTGACAATATTATTTTCTTATTTTTTTTTTTATTTCAGATTTGTATACGTATAACCTTAACAAAATTCAGGCCATTTGTTTGAATTCACATCTATGTGCATTTTCTAATAATTATTTTTACTCAAATATTGCCTCAAATCAATTACTCCCAATATCCTATACCACAATTCAACTAAATCCTCAAATTCGTCAAATATCATATACATCGTCACTATTATCGAAAAATCAATGTTCCAAAATTGAAGAAGCTGTGAATGCAGTCAAAATAAAATGTCAAAAAAAAGAAGTTAATACAAAAAAACCTAAAAAGTCATTGAAACAGAGAATTATTGATGAACTTTATCACTATTATTATGGTTTTAAACTTCTGGGACTCAACACTAAAATCTCCTTTAAATTGGCAATTAAAAAATTGAGAGGTATTGAATTAACAAGAAGAGAACATAAATTAGTAAGCTTGTTATAAATTAAGTAACTACATAACTAGACTATAGATACCAAACTAAATTGTACAATATTGCCAACATATTATAGATAGTTGGTGTTTATAATTTTCAATGAATTAAAATTAATATGATATAATTACAATGTTTTTCTAGGATCATTATAAAAATATATTATACTAATCAAATCAGCAAAGTTGGGTATTAACTAGTTAAAAAGTCAAAAAGATATATATCATAAATAATAATTATAATTAAATATATACCTATGTTCATATTTTAATTTTAAAGCAAGTTATGAGTATTTTAAAAATGTACGATTTACTATTTTAAAATACTTATATCCTGCTTTAAAGTTAAAAAAAACCCTACAAGGTTCACGAGATAATATTCTTACCTTCAAATTTTATTAGAGGTCAAATCACTTTAATTTTCAAACTAATGGAGCTAAACGTGATCTTCTGAGCGCAAGATTTGCTATGTTAATCATTTGTAAAACGGAAACAGAGCATGCGGGTATAGAGTCCTCCAAATAATAACTTCGTTTTTACAGTACCTAAATGTTATAACTTATAAGTAATATATTAAGTTCAAATAATGTCTAACATAGGTAAATATTATCTATAACTATAGTTAAAAACAATTAGTTAAACTTATTGAAAGTATTTCTGAATACAAATAAACAAATAATTATTCCTTGGTTTAATATAAGAAGCAGTGAAGATGCAATTTTCACAACATTTTGCTAGTTATTAATAACTACTTAATATTTAAATGTTTGAAAATTGCACAATGACTATGAGTTACTCGGGTGGTAATAAATAAAAAAAAAAAAATTGTTTTCACCGAGTTAAGTTAATAATTATTATTATTCATATCAACTGTAATCATTAGAGTTAAAAATACTTTTATTGTTTGAGAATTATTAACTAACTAGTATAAGACATTTTTTCTTTAACTTTTTTTTAAATACATTTATAACTTTTTATAAATTCAATACACCTAACGAATTATAGCTAAAACAGATTTAACTTTGAGATGTAATTTTTAAAATATAATTTAATTTTGTGAGTTATATATTAACTTAGTTTGTAAGAACTGAATATAGACTTATAGTATATAATATTTGACGACTACCTATTTTTAATAAGTATTGTAATTAATGAAGGTGAATTAATAAAAATAAATATGAAAAAAATGTTTTTATTTACCTTTATTAATTGATTGCTATATATGATTTCAGTTCGTTCAAACTATGGCCGATCTTTTCCGGTTATTACCTTTCTCTGTGTTCATTATCGTTCCATTCCTAGAATTCACTTTGCCTGTTTTTTTAAAGATTTTTCCGGGTATGTTACCAACTACATTTCAAACAAAGGATCAGGAGGTTGGCTAATTCTTTAAAAAAAATCATAATCTACATTTTTACAAATTATTTTAGGAAGCAAAACTCATACAATCCCTCAAAGTCAAACTCGAAATGGCTAAATTTCTTCAAGAGACTTTAGACAATATGTCTGTGTGCGGTAAAGGGCACACGAGTGAACTAGCTCTAGAATTTGCTGACTTTTTCGCAAAAGTATTTAAGTGGTTTTGAATGTTTTTAATTTGTATACATTTGTTCAACTTCGAATACATATTAGGTAAGAAAAGAAGGTGTTGTTATACCAGCTGATGAAATGCTTAAGTTTTCAAAGCTGTTTAAGGACGAAATTACCATTGACTCACTACCCCGACCACAATTGGTTGCCCTTTGTCGAGTGCTCGAACTACAACCAATTGGGACCTCAAGCGTTTTGAAATATCTTCTGACTCTTAAACTTCGATCATTAATAGTTGATGATAAGGTGAATAGATATTATTTCTTTATTTAATATAAATATTTAATGGAATAACAAAAATAATATTGATAACAATATTACTTTAAATGTTTAGATGATTCAAAAAGAAGGCGTTGATTCTCTGACGTTTAGTGAGCTTCAAGAAGCCTGTAAGTCTCGTGGTATGGGTGCTTATGGCCTCACTGAAAACCGCCTAAGACAACAGCTAACTCAGTGGATAGACTTATCACTCAATGAAAGAGTTCCTCCTTTATTACTTCTCCTCTCTAGAGCATTTAGTCTTACGCCTAATATTCCAACTAATGATTTATTAAAAAAAGCAATTACTGCTTTGCCATATGGTGTTGGTGCATCAACTGAGGCTGATTTGTGTGAGCGCGATGGCGCTATTGATAACAAGGCGAAATTGAAAGCAATAGAAGAAGAGGAACGTAAGGCAAAAGAAGAAATAGAAGAATGTATGAGAGAAAAGAAAAAACAACGAGATGATGCTGACAAAGTATGCTGCAATATAGTTGATAAGGCACCTGTCTTAACAGATACAACTGGAATTGAAGGAGTAAATAGAGATACATTGTTATATGTTTGGATTGTTAATTGTTTAATTATTTATAGGAAGATACATCAACTGTTTTAAAAACACTAGAATGTGCTTTAGAAAATATGTGCTCAGAACAAAATAAATTAATTGTTGAAATATCAGAAATCTGTGAATTAAAGGATGAACTTAAATGTTACCAAAAAGTAAGTAAAATAATAAACGTTATAGATACTAACTAGCTAGTGAAATATATTATTATCTTCGATCAGTTTCAATGTTGTGATTGTTATTAGGATAGAAATGATCTTCAAGAAGTAATGCAATCTACGAAAAAAGAACAAGTTAAAGAATCAGAGCCAGCTAAACAATTATTTAATGTACTCATTAAGATAATAAACGACATAGATCAGGTCGTCAGTAAGTTGGAGAAAACAGAATTAGTCAGTGCAAATATTACTATCGATGTGTAAATACCTACCTAAATATTTCATTTTAATCATATTATTTGTAATTTTCACAACTTATTGTGCTTATCTTTATTTTAGTGAATCAATCAAGATTGACGAACTGATCGCAGCAGTACGAAAATTACAAAATGTACCGGATGAATGCAAAATACAAAAAATTCTTAAAATTCTGTCTAAAATTGACAATGATAAAGATGGTTCAATAAGATTAGATACTTTGTTGAAAGTAAGCATCACAAGCTTATGTGTCTTGGTTCATAAGTATTAAATATTAAGTATTATTAATACATAACATATTACGTATTATTTTAGATACTGCGTCTGATTGGTGATGTAAATACGAATTTATCTGATAAAACAATGGATATAATAATGCAAATAGTTATTAAAGAGAAAAACATGACAAAAAGTGGCAGTTCCTAACTATCTTAGACGTTTGTGGTTTGTTTTATATTTGCTATTTTCACCGTTCTACCGATTGATCCGAATTAATATTTTATAACACATATCTTGTTGATTAATAATCACTGTTCATTTTGAATGAATTATTATTATAAAACTAAATTATAATTAACCGTTTGATTTCAAGTTTTTAACTGTTAATAAACGTCATTATACATTTATACCTAGTCATTATTATTACAACAATAAAATCGAAAAGCGTTCAAGTTGTAGTTATATTATATTTAAATTATTATTGTTAAAATGTAATAATATTTGGTAAAATATCTTATGTAAAAATTATCTAATTATTAACTGATTTTCACTCTGCTTATATATTATTGTTAAAATAACCTAATCCTAATATTAATGTATTATATATAAATAACCTAATTGAAAACAAATTAATTTTCAATTCTTAGCTATAAGAATATTGAACATTTTATAAATAACATCGTATATGTTATATATTTTCCATACGTATTCAATATTGCTTTTCACATTAATGCTATTATGCAAGTAGATTATATTATTTTATTTTTTATTTAAAATGTAGGTACCACGGTCATCAAATGGCATATTGAAATAACGTAGGTACAATAATAAATTGTAACGATATGATAAAAAATAATGTAACTCAATACTTAGGTACAACAACAAAAAGGTGGACTAGTGGGTACTAATTTGCTGTACAGTTTGTCAGTTTAGTTGTCGAGTATGCCTTGTAATTGATGTGTTAAATTTGAGTTCAATGATAATTAAATCGAATAATGTATAATGTGCCGAGCGGATACAACGTGTCAGTCTAGCATACTTGAATAAATAATTAAATTTAATAAATAAAAATTTAATTATCTTGGTTACAAATAGCAGTTCTTTAGGTAAAATTTTTTAATATGATAAAAAAACTACTAAGTATGTAACCTAACCTAATCCGTGTATTAAACTGCCAGTGGCTAAAATATATCGCTAAATTACCTAAACAAATAGGCTTAAATGTTTTTTTTTGGAAATTATATTTATTTAAATCTAAAATTTATTTTATACACGAGTACTTACGCTAATTTAATTAACTTGGCAGTACTATAGTAAACTAGTTTACTAGCTGATCCTACGCACTTCGTTGCTCGTATAAAAAATGATAACTATTAAAACAATACTGTGGTTGTTAAGCTACTTTTGGGTGTTACTCGATGTATGTGCAACTTAGTCAACCTAGCAGGTACTATGTAAAGCATATTTTCAGTTAATTATTTATTCTAATATCGTCTTTACTGTCCTTGCATTTAAAGAAATGTTAGTAGATAATGTTATCCAGTATTCGTGATCAAAATATACAGCGAATAAGTACCTATTGTTTTCGTTTTTATTTTATCTCTCTATTCTAATCTATTGATTTACTAATTATTACTCAGATTATATCGGTTAGAACTTTTTGTTTCGTTGTTTTTATTTATTCATTTATCTATTCCGGAATATCGGATTATTAAATATTGAGAAATTGTGTCCTTTATACATTATACATGCACAAAAATAATGTTTACTTTTAGTATTTATTTTGTCAGACTGCCTGTAGTTAACTTGTTCTTTCTGACAATATTTTTAGTGAGGTGACAATGTGAAAATCGTTAGCACAATATACCCATTTGGTGTACCTACATAAGAATTTTTTATGTTTATGAACTCATGTTCACGGATCCAGAACAAAAATCTGGGGGGGGGCACAATTGTTGGTTTATGTAAAATTACAATATTGGTAAATAGTTAGTACTATCTCAGTTTGTGCACCCCGGAACAATACGTATAATAATATATTATATTATCAGACACACATATAATTTGAAATATAGTAATATCAGAATCTGTGGAATTATTAAAAAAAAATTACGAAATAATATGTCCGGGGGGAAGGGGCTGGGCCTAAGGGAGGCCCTGGATCCGTCCCTGCGTGGAATAGGTATTATAGGTACACAAGATGCAATTGTGAGACATAACTCATTTTGCTCATTAAAATACGATACAATAATTTATATAATAATAATGACATTGATGATTGATGAGTAGAAAACTTAAAAAATATATAACACATAGTAGGTTGTAGGTATATACTTGTATATACTTGATTGTATAATAGAAAAGGATTTATAAAAAATACTCTAGCATTGTAGTTAAAGAAATCATAATCATAACTCATAGAATATATAAATATGTTGACCAAATCTTATATTGTTTTCTCAATTTTTCATTACTATTACGAAAATTTATTGATATCTATTCTACATTACGTCATACATGAACCTAATAGAAAATACATACCTAAATAATAATAATTCCTGCTTTATTAATTCTCTAATTATAAACTTTTTAGGTTACATTTATGTTGATTATAAATTGTAGTACAAATAGTATATGATATTATACTAAAAGTTCACGTTAAATCTATTGTTCCCCCATCCTTCAACGCAAATGACATTCTTAAAGTATTAAAACTACGAGTGGAATCTTTTGACATAGTTGAATGGTTTTAAGAAAAAAAAATAGAACATAGGTACCTAGTATTATATAAAATATATGATTTTTTTATTTAACTATCAATCTCTTGTATATAAACTTATTTATAAATGTATAGGTAAGTATAGTTATCACCAAAATATAAGCGTGATGACTAGTGTATTTTTATTTTGTAAATATTCGTTGTTTCTTTAGTTTGCCCCCACCTTTTGAATATGCAATATCCAAATATTATGAAATATACGTTATTGATGAAGCGAGTGCACGATGCAGATCATTTTTAAGTGTTTTTCGATGATAATATGTTAATTATTATTTTAAAGTATTTTGTTCAGACTTGTTCGCACTAAAGAAGTCGGAGTTTAGAGTTCTGGTTTTCTGGGATATTATTATGTCTTAACAGAAATACGAAATAAACTTTAAATAAATAAATAAATAACTTCAATATGTTTTTAAATAGTAGATAAGTAAAGCCAAGGTAGGTAAAGTAAGGTGAGTGAACTTAGGAAGCTAACTTGACCATACGTAATAATGTGCTATAATCGTAGTATAATGCTCTCAGTTACAGCAATATTTTACAATAGAATATAACTTATATTCTCTATATTTCTGTTTTGTGGTCCTGTAATTATCGTAATAGTACTATGATCTAGATTAAGCTTTAAAGTTCAACTGAATTCACGGCCGCCAAGTGCCAACTCGCTTTAATAATGTGGCAATAAGCAAATAACAGAAGTGTTTTCAAGTGGAAAGTGTAATGCGTTACAATATGCACAACTCTAATTACAGTGCACCAAAACTTTATTCATATTTTAAGCTTTTCATGCGAAAAGAAAAGGTTGAATTAGTTGTTTGTGTGAGTAACGCTGATGGTATAATTTGATCGCACGTTTTCAGCTAAAATAATTTATGTCTTTATCATAGAGGTGACGAGGCGTATATAATGATATCAACAGGTTAACTTGGTAATTTGATTAAATTAAAAGTTTTAATATAATGTGAAAATAATATCTAGTATATTAGCTACCTACTATTTACTAAGTACCTGGTACAGATAGGAAAAATAATAAAATAATTTAGTCTTCATTTAGTAAATTATATAGGTAATGAAATGCATACTTTTCAATATTTTTTCCCCGTTTTTTTTTATGTCTACTTCATGTGCTTTCTTTGAACGCCTGAAATTTAATCATAATTTTAATAATTAACGCACAGTGGCTAGTGTACTACATGTTTGACTCTAATTTGCAGTAAACTTTTCGATGGAAAAAAAAACTGCTCAATGGATTATAGTTTATGTTCGTATATATTCATTAAATAGATTTAAGGTAGGGAAATGGTCAGTTCGTATCACAAATTGCGTGTCTAACAAAAATATAACGATAAAACACTTTACACGGATAGTATAGTACCTATGGTATTGCTTATTGGCAAGAGTTTTTTTTATTAACCTGACAATATTATTGATTTCACTTACTAAAATACACTGCAAGTTGACCTTATTGTAATGAAACACACCCAAATTCGAACTGTTTGTTTGAATGATAACTGTTTTTCTAGAAACTTAAAGGTTCAAGAACAAACTGTGTAGATATAATTTTAAGATTTTTTTCCAGATTCGTTTTATAAAAAGTCGATCAAATAAATTGATTGGTAATCCTTTTGTTATACGTTAACGTCAACTTTTAATACTTACAACGTTATTACCTATTAGTTTACATTTTATATTTATAAAAATAAATATGACCAACCCGGCTGCTATTTATATGTTTGTCACTTGAAACTGAATCATTTTTTATTTACCTACCTTTGTGATGTAATTTTTAAGCTCTTAATCTAAAACCTGACGTAAAGCCTCATCGTTCATCATAATCTGTTCCACCTCCGTGACTGTCTCATCGAACGAATAACACTAATAAATCATCAGAATAAATATGTTCAATATCACCCATAAAATGCACCCTCTATATTTTTGACACAATACATTTCATTCATACTATTATTATTCTAAATGGATGTTTAAGTGGTACTTAAGTCTAAAATTACATGGTTTTGGACTAGTTATCTCTGAATAGCTATTTTTTTTAAAAATTCAAGTATAGGTACTAAAAAGATAAGTATTTTCTAAAATTTATTTTATTTTATTAATGAAACTATGAATATGACAATATTATAGTGTTATATTAGTACCTAAATAAAATTTACAGAAAATTCGAATGTCATATTAACGAGGCTTAAAATCGGACACACTCAAATCTCCTACAGTTTCCTAATGGCCAAGGAAGAACCCCCAATGTGCAAATCCTACGGTGTCCAAGTCACCATCAGCCACATTCTCACTGAATGCCGAACATACTACAATATCCGAACAAGCTAAAACCTGCGCGAAATATTAAAAAATCACCCTCAATCCATTGCCAACATCACAGCAGCCAATCTTCGAAACAAGATATAAAAATGATTAATTAGAATAAGTATAGACAATTAATTAATTATATCTTCTGTAAGCCCAATGGCCCATGTAGCCTTTTTTTACAATGCTCACTAGTGCAGTTGTGGTAGTAAGGAATCTGATCTATGGTCGTCAACTATCGTAACCCACAAAAACATAATCTTACAAAAGACACTTAAAACGTGATATTTACCAATATACGAGTAAAAGTTTTTAATTTAAGCCCTAAGTAGGTAGGAACCTATTATTTTAAATCCATGATCATTTATGAATCTATTGTTTTAAAAATTGAGTTGAGAATTATTGCTAACATCGTCAAAATTATCTTTATTTATCACCTAGTCAAGTGTTACACCATTTAAGATTCGACCAAATAATGAACAATTATGACAGTATTTTTAACTACAGTACTCGAGTCCCCTATATTGTTAGCATTATTATATTATAAAATTATAATAGGTACTTAAAATATTTGAAAAATCGTGTATTCTATATTTAATATTTTTAAATAGTTATAATAACAATTTATGAGGAACCTTAACTTAAATGTTCAAGCTATTTGACCAAATTAATTTTTTTTCATCGATATTTATAGAAAAAGATCAAAAATGTTTATAAATAGCTCTAACAGAGTTAAAGTACAGTTAATGTGAAGAAAATTATATGTCGAGGAACACTTAAAATCTAATACCTAAACATATATAGCACAGCGCGACTTCCTAGTTTTTAATTATAGTATAGTATAACAATTTGTAATTGTGTAATAAGGGCGGTCACTGTAATTCGCGGGCCGTAAGCCGCGGCCAGCCACCATTTCATTATCTTCATACTTGGTACTAATTTGAAATTACCTTATGTTGCTAGAACATTTTTCGGCGAGGAATGATAACTGCCAACCAGTAACCACAACGAATAACTTGTTGTAAGTGAAATTGAATTTGACGATAAACGATGGTGGGTCATAACTCATCATATTATGCACCCACTATGATATTAAAGTATAATTATTATACTAAAGACAGCGTCTATAGGAGCGTCATTTTTTATTTATACGACCCTTAAAAAACCATTCATCTTGCATAAATAAATCATTATTTTACTATTATGAATAAAACCATTAGCAAGCATGCCAATTTACTAAAAAAATTGTGGATACTATGTTTTTCTTATAACATTATACTATATTATACATCATTATATAATATGATATTTTAGAAAATGTATTATACTTACCTAAATATATACCTACTATATATTGTAATTATCCGTCAAGCTGTCGGTTATATATAGGTCATAGTGGCGTGTAACAAATGTCTTATGCCAGAAAATCGTTTTTTATAACCGTCAATTATAAAGCGCACCTAATTAACTTTTACTTTATTTTCCACATTCAGAAAGCTTTCAAAATTCGTCTATTTATGGTTTTGATGGATGTATATACATTTTATATAAATCTGAAAAATATACAAGAGTTTACGAATCTCAGAAAAACTTCGTCAATAGATAAAAAATTTATTAGGTAAGATAACATCATAATATGTATATAACTATACATGACAAATCAGAATAGTTAGCAGTATTTTAGCTGATACGAGTAGTACATACATTATTTTAGTAAATCAAAATATGACTTTCATTTTAAAGTAAAATACATGAATTAAATAACAATGATTATTAGCTTAATAATTATAATATAATACTGTAATAATATATTATACTTAAAATCTTAAATAGGTTACTACTTTTTTATTAAATTAATATGTCCTATACCGATTCTAGGAAGTATTATAATTTATAATATATCGACTATTGGAAGCTCAGCTCAAGGATTTCGAATATGTTGTTGGATATTTCGTTCCTAACTTAGCAGTTGATCGCAGATGTTAATGATGGTAATTATGTGTTTGGTGTATAAGACTGAAGAAGTGTATTTTACTGTCTTTCATGCTTCAGACTCATTAATTAATATAGTTTTTTCCATTGTATTTTTGATAATCTAGTTTTGTTGACTTGGCTTATTTTTTATAATTATATCTAAAAGTTCTGTTATGGAAATGATATAATCTGAGTAAACTTAGAACGGGTCTTAATTTCTTTGATCCTTTTTGATTATGTTTTTTGCAGGAAGGTACAAAATCAATTTTGAAATGTTTTTCATCAGGCATTGAATATTCGCAGTGTTCGTTATAATTAATATCTATGTTTTCCAAATATTTATTCAAAAATGTAAAATAAATGATATAATTCTCGATCCATCCAGTGTTTATTTTGAAATATTTCTAGATTTGAAGATTTCTGTTTGATTAAAAACTGAACTAAATGACAATTAAGAAGTAAAAAGTAGGTTGAATTGTTTAGGAACAAATCTTTTAGCACGCTAAACTAGTGCATCAAATTTCTATTCTGAAAACAGTTTTAATTGGTATTAAAATTTAATACTAATAATTATAACTCCTATACAATTATAAACTGTTGGTTTTTATTCGATTTTCGTTGTTTCTGATTGAATATTAAGCAGTTTACTTTTTAAATTAATGTGCATTACTTTTATTTGGAAATTGAGATTTAATGTGACCTTGATATTTGTCATATAAAAATAACTTATACCTAGGTTAGTATCATCATAATTGATGATAAACCACAAAATATTGAAAGTTCCAAATGCCTAAAATGTAATATTATATAATAGTATACTAGGAAGGTAGATATATATGTGCCAACTATATAATTTTTATTATTATAACGTGTATTTCGAGAAGAATTAATTAAATAAAGTATGGTTTAAGTAAATCATATTTTGTAAAAAAAGTTCTAAACATTGACAGCTGAATTGTGACGGTTTAAAATGGATACAAACATATTATTATGGATATTTATGTTATTATTTTTCCTATTTTTTCTTAATGATTTTTGTTTTAATTTTTAATCCTCAATATTCGAAACAGTAAGGTTGTGTTTGTCAAAAATACTTTTTATTATATTTTCGTTACTTGGAAAAAATTCAAATAGAACACATTACAAGCAAAATAACATCGTTACAATATCCATACCTAAAGTGTTTAACACTTACTTTCATCAAACACTGTAAATACGTAAATATTTTTTTAAATATTATACTTAAGTAGGGAGGTACCTACTGATAGATTAAATTTAAGAGTTTTAATCATTTTTAAATAATATCAAAAAATATTGGCATTTATAAATTGTAATGGACTTGAATAATTTTTTCATACCATAATTAATAAATATTTTATGGTTAGCATTTTTAACTGGAGCTTAGCATATTTTGTAATAAGAAATTTAAGTCGTTTTGAACATTTAATATTATGTGTTGTAGCTATTGTATGCTTAGCTGTTTTGGTTTCACAGATATGTCGGTGACTTGCTATCGGAAGCTAGTTGACATAAGAGAGAAGGTGGCATTAGCGATAAGGTTTGTTTACTAAAACGCCGTACCGTAAATGTTATCTGTGCGGTGGTGTGGCGTGCGGGCATGAACAGTCTTAGAAGTAGTTAGAACTTAGAAGTTCGATTTATTATTAGGTATATTAATATTAGATTATACCTACAAAACATTTTATAACATTTATAACCTCAACACAAAATACAATTATTATATTATCAAACTAGCTATTTGAACTCCTGATTAAATATAATGTTGTCATTATAAAAATGACAAGTTCTAAAATTATTCGTAACTTATCCGTTCAAATTCAATAGCAATTCTTCAATTGATCACTCACTTAAAAATGTACACGTATATGATTTAAAATGTGTATCATTTTATTCGAAACTATTTCAAATGCACGATAATTTAAACTTAGTAGATACTTGTTAATCGTCATGTAGTAGACCTTTTTAGTTTCCTATTAAAAAATATTTCTTATTCTTTTGAACATTTTACCAAAAACTAATGAAATTTTAAAAGTTGTTTTTGAGTACAATCTGTTTTTTATTTTCCAACTAGGTAGTAAGTTTATGCATAATATTCCCAATGAGCTTATTTTTCAACTAAAAATTGTTTTAAAAAAACCTATAGTATAAAAAGTTGTCACTTGATATTGTAAATCCATAGCACAACATTTTCCTGTGCCAAGATCTTCAGCTTGGATAAACACTCGTATTGCTCGTTTAATTAATTATGGCGTTTTATTATCATCAACAAAATTGGTGCATTAAGTAATAATCAATGTTAATCATTATAAATGTAATTTAAATAATGATTAAGAGTATAAATTATAGTTAAATTAAATGCCAAAAATCAAAATGGTTGGTTGATAACAAAAAAATAATTTGTTGACGTTCATTAAAATATACAGTCAAAGTGTTTAATTATATTATGGTGTAATGTGTAATAATATATAGAAGTTTAAGGAATTGTTCTGCAATGTGTATTATTAAAAATTACCTTTCTGTACACTGTTGAACGTACCATATACACAATGGCACCATGTCCAATTTCCAATCAATATAATATAGTGAGGTGCTGTACTAACACAACTTTTAAAAGTCTTTCGACTCCAAAACGTGTTTACACGCACATAAAAAACAAATCGTTATATACTATTAACAACGTCGGAACTCACAATGTTCTAAGTCTTTAAGTTGACATTTTTTTACCCGTGGAAATTGCTGTTTTCTTAGAATGTTCAAGGTAACAGTGGTGAATGTCACTGGTTGTGTAGTAAATTGAAATAAATAAACAAAATTATATTTCTAAAATACGTATATTTGAAAATGACGACTGTAAAATACTAAAATAGATAGATATGCAATAAAATCGACAATACAACTAATAAAATACAATTAATAATTTTAGGATTCTGTAAGTAATAATATAAGAAAAAAAACAGAATTATAATATAAACAACAACATTAACAACAACAACAACAACTATTTAAGTTCAATTATTATTTGAATATAATATACCTATAGTTGGTGTATATTATAATATTGTGTACGTGTGTGTAAGTGTGAATGTTTTGTTGTTGGAAAAAAAAATTCTACAATAAACGACTACGTATTACCTATATAATAAATTGATTGATTGATTGATTAAAGTATATAATGATGATAATAATAACAATAATAATGCTATATGTTGAAATTAAATTAAATATCAAATTATTAAATGGTTAATGAAATATAATGGTAATAATAAGGAATTTATCGTTTGAAATAAAAAGAAAAACAGTAAACTATTTTTATTCAAAGAATAGGTATTTTACGAAAAAATTATTTTTCAATCATTTATTTGTATAAATGTAATATATTTTTCAAGTGAGCAGCGACAATGAGTTTAAAATACAAATTTTAATTTTTAAATGACCCAACAGGCAATATTTTGTTTGCCGGTGTATACGAGTGCTTAAAGTGATGTTTTGTAATAGTTAATGTTTATAAATTTATGTAAAATTATCAAACATTTTTTCTACAACCTACTCGATTAATAATAATTAGTAAATTGTAAAAACAGAAATTTCAAGCAATTGGTTCGTTTTTGTGGATATACGTTGATTACCTACGTAGGTACTATATAAATGCGAGTTTCGTCTAAGTAATGTATGATTTTTATACGATGTATATATTATAATTTATAACTACAATAGTCAATAATAATAATAATAATAATAAATTTAATATTATCTCGTAAACGTTAAAATTTTTAAAACGACTGGTCGAAAAAAGTAGTTATGAAACGATTATGGCAATAAAATAATACTGCAGCGTTGGAATCACACCGTGCAGCATAGAAGAAAATAATAATTATTACTATTCTTTGGAACGACGCATAAATGATAAGCTCTCCAAGCTCAATGTAATAGTAACCCTCGTCATTTTCGTGATTTTTAATTTAATTTATAATTATTATTATTTTGATTACGATTACATTTGATTATTACATTCTGATGGGACACAACGGTATTCATATAATTATTATAGTATTATTACCCTGCAGCTACCAAATTTTAGTTACAATACATAAGGTAGGTATATAATATACGAAATACAATATCGACCGTAGTTTATTTTTTTGGTAGAAACTCCAGAAAAGTATTTAAATTGATGTGCGTGTTTTAAAATATAATATGTATTAATAATTAATAATAGTAAAAATAATAATAATTACACATTGATACGAATTTCGCGTTGGTCACAATCGACATAGTGAAAATGAATATAATATTATGACTGTATTATAATATAAGACGAGGATGGCGGAAAAGGAATGTTATTAGCTTAAGAGAAAAAAAATCGAACGATTCTATTTAATTAGGTATAATATAATATAGGTAATGCTGTGGTTTACAAACCGATTGACATATTATTATGTTGCTGAACCTAATAAGAAACTTGTCACGGCAGCGTTGGAAAACCTATATTAAATATAAATGTAGTTTTAATAAAACGTTTCCTCTCCTACATCCGCAGTGAAATAAAATAATACTATCGAAAATTACTATGGTCATGATAATAATAATAACCGCAGTAGTATAAGTATAACAGTTGCAGTGGTATCATTATGCTGCATTATAACTCGTCCGTCCTCGATGGATATTATTATTATTACCATAGCATTGTTGAATGCAAGAAAAAAATCAAATACAAATAATAATAATAATAATAATAATAATAATAATAATGGAAATTTTATACAGCGGCGGCGGTCCTATTGCTTGGCATCGATTGCGTCATCAGCCTTCCGAGCTTTGTGCCCGCGGAACGACGCCTGAATCTTTGTGGCGGCTTTGTGCAGCTCCGGATCGGCCAAGTCAACGTCCAACAGCTGGTCTAGGTCCGCGTCCTGTACACGACAATTTAATGGGTGTGTAGTACATTTTATGGGCGAGAGATCGAAAGAAATAGGTTGTATCTAACGGTCAACGACGATGAACTAAGTGTGACTATAAACTATTGCGAGTACTTGGTAGGCGCATCGCTCGCGTTTATACATATATATATATATACATTTTTTGTAAAAACTTGTCTGAATTGGTTGGTGACATGGCGAAACGATAATTTCGTTGCAATCTAGTATAGGGTTGACTTTTTATGATAAATAATCGAAAAAAATGTATATTCTGCAGCCTAGTGTACTAAACTTCTCCTGAGAACTTATTGTCAAGTATTGGAAAATAACCTTCAATATAATGTTGCATACCTACATTCTGATCGTGTGAAATGCAACTCTTCAAATTGTAGTAAAAAATGTTTATAACTCAACTTTTAATGCTTTTGAATTCAATAATGTTCGGGTCTAAAAAAAAGTAGCTGAGTGACGCGTTTAGCATAAACCTGTGCATATTAGTATAAAGTAGAAGTTTAGTTTTAGAACACATATTGTATTACACAATGTGATCGGCGAGTAAAACACGCTGTGGAGTTCCACTATTGAACTATTACCAATATTTTAGTTTCTGGGCGTGCATATTGGGTTTTGAATACCTAATGATTATATATTATTATAAAGGTATTTCATTTTTTTTTTCGGGAAGCACATTTTGGATCACAAAAAAAGTTTCTACTGTAGATTATCGGTGATTGTGTATAAACAAGCAATTTAATCTATATTTTGTCTTTTAATATGTATTTATTTAAATTTTCTAGTAATTTAAACACTAACAAAACACAAATATTTTTAGATAATTGGAGTTAATCTTAAAATGGATTTTTATTTATTATTATTATATCGAGTCTATGATACGACATTAGCACTATGTAATTCACGTATTTTAAAAATATTTTATTTTCAAAAGTTTATTGAAAAGTATTAAAACCGTAGTCGAGTAAATTAATATTAGTGTGTTAGTGCAATAAATATCACTGCAGCTATTCATTCATCACATTGCTCACTGCACATTTTTCATGTCACTAACCAATCGACCAATATTGTTGTTCATCTTTACACATCAATATAACCCTTAAACGAGAAAGAAAATTAACGTTACTTCCTGATGTAGAATTTTAATACAATTATAAAAATGTGTTTGGATTTTTAAAGTTCTTAAGTAAATTTTGTAGAAAATAGTTTTGTTATTTAAAATGTCATGCTATTAAAATAAAGGAAAATAAAATCATGTTTTTGTATTAAAAATATCTTGACTTTAAGAGAAGCTGTGGTTTAAAGAACAAATGTTTTTCTAACAAAACCTAAAAGAAAAAGAAAACCAATTTATTCAATTTTTTAAAATTAAAATCAGATCACGGAAAGTAAGGTTAATTTACTTTTGCTTATTTTTCTAGATGCATGAACATTTTTTACTACTCCAACCACCCTATACTCTGAAGTAAATCAGACCTCAATATTAGTATCTATAATCAGACAATTTTTTTTATATGTTTACATATATTTTTGTTAACTTATATACATTGATTAATTTACCATAATATTAACGCTCGTCGGCACCTATAACATAAATATATAATATAACCCTTTACAACCATATTGTTATCGTTAGGTAATTATTATTATCCTCACTGCAATTATAGTCACATATATAATAATTATAATACCAGCATTTATGCAAACAAACATTTTCTCTCCCGTGCTTTCATTATGTTCATAGAATTTTTGTAAAATGTAAATCTCTAAAATCTCTTTGTACTTCTTATAATTTGTCCCCTATATTGCAATATTCTTAATTTAAGATGAAATTTTCGGTGCCAACTGACATTTGTTTTATACAATAAAAAAAAAATATATCACTATCTTACTCTCGCATATAAATAATAAATATGTAATAGTATGATGTAATTTTCTGTTAAGACTGTTGAGGTAAATAAATTTCTAAAATTGGCCAGGTAGATATTAGACAAATTATAATTATTTAACTTTTTACTAAACTTTTGTATAAATATTCGACGTTATTTTTCATAGCATCAATTTTGGCTATAGCCTATTGATACTGATATGTTATTCATCTTTTAATTTTTAATTTTAATTAATTAAATGTATAATAATACCCATATCACCTATGTATTTTTTTATTTTGTAGCATCGCTGATGACAATGTGTCATTATTTCCTATATTATAACATTTATAACTACAATAAAAAATTATTTATTATATATTTATGTACCTTGTTTATGTCGACGTTTTTCAACTGTGATTCGAGACTCTCATCTTTAGAAGTCAAGCCAGAAGCCGTTGCGCCAGGCTCGTCTTTTCCGCCGGCCTGTTGTTTCCTAGTCATATGACCTCGGAATGAAGCTTGGATTTTGGTCGCGGCATGACACAATTCTGTATATAAATATATGCAACACAAATAAAAAACGAATTGTGTTTGTGAACATGTGTGTGTGTGCGTGTAAATTCTATTTCAACAGATTCGAAACAAAATAAAAAAAATCACTAAACAAAAGAAAGAATTTCCATTTATCTTGTAATAAATGCACACACTATTCACATAGTATGTCACACACACACACACACACACACACACACACAAACAACATGGCAACGAGTGTACGTGTGAGCGGAACGCATTTCATTTATGTGTCCTCGAGGGTTCGATTTTTTTCCTTACCAACGTCATCCGGTCGGAATTCCTTTTCGAAATCAGCTACTTCCTCAGATGTTTTCATCGTGTCGGAGTTTTCTTCTTCGCTAACCGAACTGGTCAAACTGTCGCGTTCTCCCGAATCTATGTACACACAAACAGAATACGACGTAAATTCGATTACGATACGAGCTTCCTTTGATGTGACATGCACGTAGGCGGCAATATGGCAGGGCTTGGGAGGGAGAGGTCCAAGCCTTCCAGGTGGAAAGCAGCCCCCAACATTATCTACCAATATACGTATTTTTTCATTTACTTCCTGTTTCTACGCAGGAGTTATTAAAAAGAAAATGTAATGGAAAAATAATTAAATTATCAGTCATGACTCATGAGTCACGACCAATTAATTATCTAGGCGTCTAGGTAATTATGTGAACGATAATTGTCGACTAACATCATGCGATAATCGAAAACGTATGGATTAATCGATTAGACAAACAATGGCGTGAAATCCCCCAAGTTAGTTTTCCGTAAAATATTTAAGTACCTACCTACTGAAGCTCTCGTCGATTTATAATACCTTATTTGCACTTGTGATTTAACAAATAATAGCTATATTACATAGGTATTGGGATTATTGTTTTATACTCCACAATTGCACTCACGGAGCTATACTAAACACAACATATATTACTATTATTTATTTGTAATACGTGCTCTTTAGGTCATTTCTGTGTACAGGACACACTGGTGGTGTATATTGTATTTGTATTATCGCACACAGCTAAATATAAAATATTGTACAAAGCTGGCAACCCTAAATCGTCATTAAACATTTAAAACGAGTATAATTTGTTTTACATGTAATCAATTTTCCCAGTCCTCCCATCTTCCTCCTCACGCTCTCCGTCATCTGTTGGTGGTATTAAATATTGAGCATTAACTCAAAGTGGCATGCAGCGTGCGCAAACATATTTGGCAAATCGCGATGCCCTACATATATTTTCAAAATGACAGCCGTATATAAATCGGAAATATAAATCGGAAGAGTAGCTGCGCAATGCATTTTTAACAAACTTTTAAAATTTTAAATCCTCATTACTCCATATAAAATTATACACGTCATTAAAACTTTTGAATCGTAGGTACGTTTTAGTTATACTCATTGCACACCCACACCTATCCTATATGTATATATCTATTATTTATGTTAGTCAAGTTATGTGTAATTCAAAAAAACACGATTTATGAGATCCGTATATATTCTACAATATTGTTATTTGTTTTGTATCGATTATTTGTTTAATTTGACATTGTTCACATTTTTATTTCAGTCATTAAAACGTGTTTGGGAAACAAAAAAATTGGAGTGACTTTCCGCATACGTTTTAAACACAATAGGTTACGAACACAATATAATACACTACTTTATTTTATTATAGCGTTTTAGTGAATAATGAATATTCAAGAGCATTCAAAAATCTAAAAAGTATAGTAATAACCAATAGGTAGGTACTTTAAATACCGAAGTGAAAATTTTTCAAGAATTATATATTATATTCAACGTTGCACAAAAAACAAAAATATATTATAATACGTACCTATAATTTATAAATAATGGATACTATATTACCTAGATCTAATGCATATTATAAATGTATAATACTACATAGGTACTAGGTAGTATGAATCTACTTATACGTATATTTATGAAGACAATGTCAGGATACTTTCACTCCCAAAATAATAGATACTTACATAATAAATATAATATAATAAAATACAAACAAAAAGTACATATTTATAGTACCAAAAAAAATATTTGAATACCTTTACTTCAAATACTTTTACTCAAATACTTTACAAGGGTGCGTATATAAATATATATAACACATTTACACACCCTATATGTGTTTTATATTATTATACCATAGCTGTTCTATAGATACCGTCGTTTTTGTGGGACTTTATATACCCCAGATGCTATATAAATATTACCTATAGGTAGCTTAAATTTTTGTTTTGGTTTTTGGCACTCAAACTATATATTTGAAAAATACAAACAATGAGAAAGAATACTCGAGGAAAAAATACTTGACAAAATAAAATACTCGACTTTTTTTTGTTAGTAGATAAAATGATAATAAAATGAACATAAATAGATGAACAATAAAAACAAGGGTATATAATAATAATAATAATACTAAAAAAATGTCTACTACACTATATAATGTGCATACGTATATATATAATATATATACACTACTTTTGGAAAGGGCGGTGTTGAGAAGGAAACACTGGTATATGCTGTGCCCTACATTTTTTTTCAGACTTTGCATACAGTAGTGCAAATCAATGCTCCATTTATTTTCTCGCACACTTAACCATTTTATCATATTCTTGTGTCTTTTATTTTTTCCGGTTTATATACCTTTTTCATCATTGGGACTAATTCTAACAAGGGGTAACTTTTTGTTTTGTTGTTAACGTCCATCTTATTCTCGTCATTCTAAACCGCGTAAAATAGGAACTCGACAATTCTGCAGTTGTAATTTTCCAAAATCTATTTTATAAAGTACCTTACTAATAACTATCATAATAAAATCTGATAAAAACCGCAGTGTTTATATTATAAATAATATACCACCTACCAATATTCACATAGTATAGAATAAGACGATCAAGTACCTATATAATAAATACTACATCACTATTACTGTGTGAATTTTAATTCATTTTAATAAGATTTCAGGTTTTATGTTGACCGATTTTATGCATATACTGAATTTGTGCTGCGTATTGAGTTAATCTGTGAATCTAATATGTCTTAAAATTATTATTATAGGTACTAGCTAGCATATCAAAAATCATGAATGATAAAAAATGATGGCCGTGGATGATAAAATGAAATATTATATAATATGTGTATATACATTTTTTGTCTGCATAAAATATAACTAATGGTGAAGATTTCAGTAAAAATCATTATAAATAATTATTCTCGGGGGAAAAATCTTGGATATAAAGTTTTCAAAATAAACTTATTTTTAATCCATCAATAAAATTATTTTCGCCTGTATGAAAATGCGTTACATTGTAAATCGTTCTCACAAGTAGCGCCTGCAATCTCTCTCTCTCTCTCGCTCTGTATATATATAGGCGTATTGTGAACCATCAATCAAACAACCTTTCGTGCAAAAAAAAAAAAAAAACAATTTCCACTACTTTTGCAATAAGGTCGTAGCTCACACAAAATGATATAATATTGTCTTTATAAGTTTTTATTTTTAAAATTTGAAATTCACTCCAATAATGGTATTTGTAATATTTGTCATGAATAATATTTTGTTTAATGTTCCTCGCTAAATGAATTAATTCAAAATCCTATACAACTCAAAAAAATTTAAGTCAAACTGTCATAGAATACTATACAAGCTATAAATCATAACATGATCATTAGCTCAAGATTTATATGGTTCAAATGTTTTCATTCCCAGTGAGTTACAGAATCAACTGAGAAATGAATTTGTGAAAACCAATGATCTCTACTTTATCTTAGTACACTACAAAAGTTCCACCTAGCAATCCTGCAGAGTTGCCGAATTTTCAAAAATCTAATAGGTACAATTATTGTATAATTACAGCATCATAATTGCAATAATGGCTTGAGTAGGTAGCTGCTATTGTTTATCTAATAGAATTGAGTAGGTATCTAGTAGACATATAGTTCGGTAATTCGAACCACTTACAAACCTTTGAAATCACATTCAAATCGTCCTACTAAAGCTGAAATGCGCAATTGGTACAAAATGTTTATTGTTAAATCAAAATTCACGATGGTTGGAATTGTTCACATGCGCCCATCGAACGCATAGGTAATATTATTGTAGTAATAAACCGAAAGCCGACTGGAAAATGCGTTTTATAGACGGATTATATGAACAGTGATTTATACATTACGTGTATTATGACCATCTAAGTGTAAAAACCACCAGAACGCGTTTTCACCGAATACCAACAAAAAATAAACTCGTCTCCCGTCCACAGATTACTATTATCACTATTATCATTATTATTATTATTATTATTATTATTATTGTACTGCAGCAGTCAGCCTGCCCGCCATTGTACTTAGCGTTTCCGCAATTCGCGTTGTTCGCGCGGGCAATTTATTTCACGACGGGCGTAATGTATTTAATATTTATACAATTGCGGAACTACGTCGGGCTATATAATAATATATTGTACACATATATATTTGTATAGGAAAGGTGTGTGCACCAGCATTATATACGCGCGCATACGGCGCCATTAATATTATATTATTAACGATTTATCATCGCGATTCGCGACGTGCATGTATAATGTATACAATGCAATGCTTAGGTGTAATTTGCAGGGTACCTATACGTATGTACAAAATATTACATCATATTTATCATGCAATTGTGTGTGTGTGTGTTTGTGAGTGGAGGAGGATATACGTCGACACGCCGCTGTCGGGTCTTTTTGTTTTTCCGAACCAGGGACACCCCTTAATAAATATAATACTAGAGTAGGTAGGTATATTATTAATAATATTATATATGGATTAATATCATTCTATTTAGATTGGTGTAAAATATACATATATATTGCATCCAGTATGGCGAGGGGTGGTATTTGTAGAACGAGTAAAGGAAAATGTTTATTCACCAAGTACACATATCATAGAATCTATTCAGTAATGACTTAAGCACATATTATACTGATAACTATAACCTATAAATTATTATATTCATTACCTACTTAGTAAAATATAACACGAAAACCTCTTAACCTCATGACTCTACGTTTCTCCTATCACTCATTTCCAATTTTGTTTTAAATATGCCCCGGCCTATTCGGTTACGTTCATCACGTCAGAAATCACATCATTTTATACATATAATATGATGTGCGGGCACCTAATTACCTTTATATATATTAAAGTTTAAAACATAATAGTATTTACAGAAAATAAACCGGCCAACTAGTGCGGTGGACGCAGAGTAGTTCAAATAATAAAAATAATTCTAATCATTGAGAATTAATATCGAGAATCGCAGTAGTAGTAATGATAATAGCACCTATCTACATCGTATACAAGTGTTGAACAACCGTGATTTTCCGTTCGTACCCATGAACGCTATTCCACGTAGAAGTTTACGAAGAAAGAATTTTCACCCACACTGCTAGTAATGAAAAATCGACAACAAACTAATTAAACTTCTTTGTAATAATATAACTGCGGAGTGAACGTCCGGTGGTGGGAGGAAGAGGCAGCGACCCGAGTTTAAAACTGCGGACGTCTGCGTGCTGCAGATATAATATGCTGATAATATATTCGAATATATGTTGTATCTGTATAGGAATAAATAAGAAAAACGCACCGCAGTTCGTCGCAAAACTATTGAATATAAAATATAATATTATAGTATAAGTAGGTATGTATTATTATTATTATAGATTCGCACATTGCAGCGTGAAACGTAAGCTTCGCCGCTCGAAAAACGTTTGCTTATTTTTTTAACTCGGGTTTTTTTTTTACACATTATGCAAAAACGCAAAAGATGTCCCCGATCGATGGAATCCGCTGCCGGTTCCGGAAGGATAAAGGAGGTCAGCGCTGTGCGTCAGGTATATAAAATAGGTGGCTGCAAATACGAAAAGACGGCGCGCATAGTCACAGTGATTTCTGCTTAATGAGATCAATGGGCAACGGGCAATGCGCTGTAGATCATTTTATTTATAATCAACCAATATTGATTCTGTAAAATAATTTTTATTTATTATTTGTCTTGGGATTATGCTATAAACCGTGGTGGACTGCTGCAGCATTATAACCGGAAGTGATCGCATTAAGCGAAACACTATAATCACATTTTTTTAACCCTAAACTTCAGCTATAATGTGCTTTTTACTTTTATTCCTACATAGGCTATAACAACTGAAGTCTAATGATAGGTACATTATGTATAATGCATCGTATGTTCAACGATAATATATAAGACGATGGATATTGTTACCAATGCATCCGCGTTGTTGGTATTTTCATTTTTACAGGCTCATTCGCTCGCTCGTCCCTGCGGCAGCATATATATAACCTGGTCAGTGGTCACCTACTTATTGCATAATATTAAAGCAGGTAAAGGCAATAGTAATAATAATATATGTTCGAAAATCGAAGTGATTATATAGATCTATCCATCCCCCCTCCATCCCTGGACGTAACCAAGTATAGTATATACAAGACAAAATGGGGTAGTAAGGGGGGGGGATGACCGGTGACGGTGGTCGGGCAGGGGTTCGCCATAGATATGGGATGTATGTGTGTGTCTTTTGTGTACATGTCTGGGTGTGTGTGGGTGTCTTTGTGTGTATCTTTGTGTCTGTGTGGTGGTTTTCGGCGGCGGACTGCATCGATCGTGGCGCGCGGTAGTTAGGTCGTTCGCGGGGGGTGTGAGCGTACGCGCGTCGCAAGCGAGGGCGGCCCGTGTCGGTCATTGGAGGTCATCAGGTCGCGCGTTCGACCAAGGCCGCGCGTCACCTTCTCGGCAATTATATCGCTACACTGCCACTACTATTCCTGTTACTGCTATTTCCCATGTTTACTATATGTATACATATTATATGATATATATATATATGTATATATGTATATGTATATATATATATATATGTATATGCGCATATATATATATATGTATATTACCACTATATTATAGTCGTGTTATACATATAATAGGTACTTAAACTATATACTGCATAGAACTGCGGCTGTATGTGTATACATTACAACACTCCGTTATACCCACCACCCACCCGCCTACTCATCACGGCCGCAGACTCCACCCGCGTCACTATGAAGCCTCGTTATTATTGTAATATTATACAATATATTATGGTATGCATGCGCTAAAATATCATATTATATTATGATCGCCGTCAACGAGGAAGCTGCAGCTTGCAGGCATGTGTACCCGACGTTATGCGCTGAACAAACAAAATGAGCTTTCGAATAACATTTCCTACCACCCGAAACGGGACTTGTCCGTAACAGTTTGATCGTATTCGCTTATATCGGCTAGGCTAGCCAGAGGAGGGAGGGGGTACTACAAAACACTAATAATAATAATAATAATAATAATAATAATAATAATAAAAATAATGATAATGTATAAAATAAATAGTAACATTACGTTCTGCGCACGACCCCTGATGATGTAGTGTACCCATACAGCACTATCGAGTTACACCGCGGGACTAAAATATATGTATATACTTGAATACGCTAGGGTCGAAATTTCATTTTAATACGACCCAGCCATCCAACCGTCAAGATGATAAAACACTCTGACCTTTTCCATACATTATATGCGAGCCTTTCACGTTCGACAAGTTTCCTGCAGTCACGAATTCTTATATATATATCTGTGTATCAAGTTGGCCGTTGGGAATAGGGTTGTGATGGGGTTTGAATATAAACCTTCCTGCAGGTCGTTCTTTTAAAATGTTCATATCTACGTAGGTGGTATATTTTGTGGAATATTATCAGTATGTATATGAATCGTAAGACCTGAGATGGAAAACCTATTTGATTTTCCCCGTGAAACCGTATTTCTCAAAAATATACGCCTCGGTCGGCAGTGGGCCTCGACTGCCACCTCTCATTGCCGCCGCTAAATAATAAATCACCATATTCGGATGCATAGAGTTTGGCGCCACTGCGGCACTACAATAAATTCGCGTGTATTGCAATATATTATAATATGAAGCACAACGTTATGCATAAATAATGTACTGCAGTGACTGTAATAAACGAGTATTTTACGTCATATTTTAAAATGATGTATAGAACATGACGTCGTGGTCTTAACGTTTAGTAATGTTCAATATGATGACTGATGACAATAATTATAATAATAATAATAATATACAACATACGAAGACACCAAAAGATGATCGTGATTATTATTAAAACAATAATATATATACTTACGTGCGCGGGCGTGTGTAGTGAGAGACGGTTTCGTGCTGCCGCTGCTGCAGGTGTAATGTAGGTACTTTAACGCGCGAGTGTACGGTTATTGAAAAGTGTTGGTATATCGGTGGCGGAGGAGGTGGTGTTTATTGTAAACGGTGAAATATAATAAATTATCGAACAAATATATTATATTTTTATTATAATATATTATAAACTCTGCACGCAGGTGGTGTGGCACAGGTGTAAGCTGTGTAGCGCGCTGCGGCGTTTGCGTGTGTGTGCAGTACGCAACGGTTTTTTCTAAATTTTTTTTTTTTAAACGCCGTGTGATACGCTAGTTAGAATTTTAATAATTAATAATGAAAACAAATAAATATGATGAAATATCGCAGTGCAGTTGTTATTATTTCGTTGGTTTGACGCGATTTCGTTATATTGTGATGTACAGGCGGGACGACGACTACGACGACGACGGGGTGGTCTAGCGCGAAAAGAGATATAGAGACGGACGCGGCGCGCTGTCTGGTCTGGCGGCGGCGTCGGCGGTATCGGTGGTGGTGGCGGCGGTGGTGGCGGTGGCGGTGGTGGTCGCTTTTCGGTTCGCGTTCGAGGAGCAGCCGTAGGAGTCAGAGTAGAATGTAGTAGCAGAGTGCCGTCGGTGACGGTGGCCGGCGAGCGTATGACGGCGCGGCGGCGGATTCGTGCGACTATATACCGCGGCGCGACGTGCCCCGCACGTTGTAAAACGTACGGCGGTGGCGGCACAGAGCGCAAACGCCGCCGGTCGAGCGCGTATATATTATTATTAGGTATACATATACATATACGAGCACTTGTCCTACGTGTGCGTGTGTGTGCGTGTGTGTGTCGGAATTGAAAAAAGCTGTGGCGGCGGCGGGTGGAATATACGTATAATGCCGTTCGCGTATATATATATATATATATATATGTATAGCGTATATGCGGCAGCGCCGGCGCCCCTGACACTCCCTGGCGGTGAGGCCGAGCAGTGCGCGCCGCGGCGAGTCGGTGGCCGCCCTCGCCGCGCGCATAATCGCCATGATACACCGCCACCACGTCGTCTCGGCGCGCGCGATCCCCGCCGCCGCCGCAGCGCCAGGGACTTCGTTGCATACACAATAACGCGATATCGTAGATAGGTGTATATGTACTGCGTGCGACGTACGCCGCATAGGTATGCGGAGGATGTGGCGTACCTTGTAAAGGCCCCACGCCCTGCCTGACACCCTCCCGGATCCCACCCGCCTAAACCCACACCGTGCCCTACTCATGCCGCGAGAGTCGCGATGTGTGGCACAGATACGAGAGATATATTGTCCTCTATTTTGTTACGTGCTGTGCGCCACCAGGCTAATTAAGCGACGGGATTTACATCAAATCCAATGTTTCAGTGGTATTTGGAGCAAAAATTCAGTCGTTTATTTATCTATTTTTTTCGAAATCTAGGCTAATTAAGCGACGGGATTTACAACAAATCCAATGTTTCAGTGGTATTTGGAGCAAAAATTCAGTCGTTTATTTATCTATTTTTTCGAAATCTGCTTACGATCACCGTCGTCGAGCGTTTTATGTGTATAGAATATATACGTACATTAATATAGTTGCTGACGCTGGCGCAGAGTATTGTATTACTATATTTACGGTTCTTTTGTGTGCGTATCGTAAAACGTCATAATAATAATATTGTGATATTATAATATACGAGCACGATTTATAATATTATAATTATACTACGAAAAAAAATACCTACGGGTGACTTTAGGGTGGTCGTTAAAAACAGATTAGTTAAAATTACAAACATGACAACAGCGACCAACATAATCATATGTTCTATATATTTATATATATATCATGTTCACTTATATGATACGTGTCACGTCTTAACGATATCGTCCGCTGGTAGATCCTATATTATGCATCGACGTGTACTCTCGTGTATGACACGTCATAATATAATAAATAATAAAGCATGGTTGGTGGCACACACGTCGAGACGGAACCGTCATTATTTTTTTGTTATTTGCGAAGCGTCCACTTACCGTCACTCAACGGTATCAAGAGCGTTTCGGCCGAGTCCGACTCGGCGGCCGAGGACAGTTTGTTGGTGACCTCCCCTCCTCCGCCATCTCCTCCCACGCCTTCACCGACGACGGCGCCTCCGTCTTTGCTCGGGTTACAGCCCATGACGACGGTCGGCCGCGTGCATCACCCGCGGTTCTTCCTCCGCCGCCCGACGACCGGACTGCATCCGATGGCCACCACCGTCGCTATAGAGTCCACCGCCGGCCACGGCTCTCGCTGCAGTATCGTGGTGGCCGGCGAAATAGAATTCCGTGCTGCAGACGCTATACGCTCGAGGCGACTACAGTAGCGTCGTGTCGCAGCGTGTAGCGTCGACGTACATCAACCGCCGAGCCGTAAGTACGGTTTGCGTGGGTAGTGCGGTGCAAACGACTACGAGGCGCATAGGTATTTTCGGTAACGGACGAGAACGACAGGGGCGAACGAGTGGCAGGGAAAGAAAGACGGGCGGAGGGAGAGACGACGACGGGGAAGGGGCGAGAAAAATAGCGACTTCACTGCGGCCGTAATACTGTACACGTATAAACTGAGGAATATATTATGCCGTAATACGTATATAATAATATAAGAGCGGTAGTGGAGCAGGCGTACCTATTTTTTAGGGTCGCCCAACCCTCTCCGTCTGCAGGCAGAGTTTCATTCACTGTTTAATGCACGTAAACAGGTATATACCTGTATAGTACAGTCGTTATATACTTCGCCCCCGTCTTGTGTTTTATTTATTTTTTCCTAAAAAAAAGACGAAAAACGCACATCGTCTACGACGGCCATCCGCGCCGTTTATTATACGGCCAGGTTATATATGTATACATAGGCAGTCTAGAATGTAAGTGTATTATTAAGAGTTCGGTTGCCTACGGTAACAGGCAACGGCAACAACAATAATAATAATAATAATAATAATAATAATAATAATAATAACAATAATAATAATGTGTACATGAAATTAAACGGGGGCTAGGTATATGGACATTTACTCTAGAACGGCCGACTGGTGTGTGCCGGAATGGGCAGAGGGGAGAGTCCCTCCCCACCGCGCCGTCCGCGAAGTATTTTATTGTGCACACTGCACATATATAGCGACTGGACGCCGTCGAGTTTTTATTCGCGTTCATCACGCATTCATATTATACGTACATAATATATAATATCAACCCCCCCGCCGCTAAGAGGAGGTACATAAATAAATATATTATACAGCTAGGTCAATGGTTTGTGTGTATAGTGACTACGGTGGAGGTACCGCCGATTTCAAAGATTTTTAGGCTGCTGAGTAAATCATTCATCAGTTTCGTATCGGCACCTCGCGAGATATGCGCCTGATAAAATGTACTATACCCGAAAATATAAATGCTAATACCATGGTCTTAAAAATATTTATTATTATTATTATTATTGCTTTTAGGTTATTGGATTATGACTAATTACTGTCATTAAGTTGTACGACATTATTTTTAAGTTGAAAAATTAAAACACATTTTTATAATGACGTGAGAAGGATATAATTGCACCATGTTTCTCGCTACACAATTAAGCCGTAAATATCGATCAAATTGTTATTTTTTTTTTTCCAAAAGTGTTATTTTGTGACTTAGTCTAAAAATGAGTCTGTCCATGCGCACGCCTGTAATATTTCATTTTTATTAGTTCTCCAAAAAGATAACGGGCCCTTAATAAACAAGTTCGTGTAAGCGGGTATAGATAGTTATTAAATATAATCAAATGGCATTTATATTGTACACATTTGACATTTACCTATTTTTATTTGAATTGTTAGAACCAATACGTACCACACCATCCAAATATTCTGTACGAGATCTAGAAAATAGGAGAATAAAGAAGTACCCATTTAAAATTAGCCTAGTTAACTGTATATTACGTATACTCAGTAGTCGGTTTACTGCTTAATCATAAATGTTATACCGTGAAGATATTAAATGTAATAATGATATTTGAATATTTCTGACTTGTTCGTGCAGCTCTTGCACATTTAATTATTCAAAAAAAAATATTTGGAAAACATTTAGCATGACGTATTTGCTTGACCGGTCTCAACAAAAACTATCCGTTTGCAATATCTAACCATTTTTCTGAATTACTCGTGTCCCCAACCCTCACCACCAAAATGTGCAATAATGTAAAATTCCAAATTTTTTTTACGTGGATATTTATTAGGCACTTACGTAATTATTGCACGCATATTTCCATGACTGTTCCCGAAATTTGCACGTCATTCTTCTGCCCTCAAAAATCGACCATATGCAATGGACATGCGCAAAATCAAAAATTGATTTTCTTGGAGAGTGACATGCAAATTCCGAGAAAGGTCATGCAATTATATGCTAATTAAGTACTAAGTATACGTGCAAGAAGAAATGCAGAAGTAAGTATTTTTGTAATTGTATTGGTGGGAGGATTGAAGAATTGAAGACGAATGTTTAAAATCCCACCTTCTTTAATTTTTGATTTGACGCTTAAACCAAAACCAAGCAAATAAACACGAATTACTTACCTATTTTTTTGTTTATTGAAAATGTCATTGTTGGCATACACCTACGTAATTTCTAGTTAAGTTAAGCTATTATTTGATTTAGACAAAGAAATAACGTTTTAGGATATACTAAAATTATCAGGCGCAATCATGCATTTAGCGTTATTTCTTATATAAGTGACTCTAGGTTAGGATAGGCGCATGCACGATAAATCCTGCCTTTTTAAAATGTTCAATCATCATATATATATATAAATAAAATTTTTACAATGGTTGTAAAATTAATTAAAAATGTAGAACTCTGAAGTAGAATAATATAGATACAGAGTATGAAATTAAAAAAAGAATAATACACTACAACGCAATTGGTTTCGTGTCCTGAAAGCATAATCGCATTTCCAGAGAAAAAAATATCCTTCGTGAGGCTGCCGGGTGTATAGAATATGTTTTGACACATTTGTTACTACAAAAGGGTACAAACGTAATCGGTGTGCTTGTAAAGGAAATTATGTATTATGTAGATTTATTATGTAATTCTAAACGCCTAACGACTAACACATACAGACTTACAGTTGTTATTTAATACAATTTGTCTATGTAAAAGTTCAGTAATATTTAACATATTATATAATTTAAAATCATATTGCAACTAAAAAATTAAACGAATATTCTAGATATACGAAATTTTCTGAAATAAAATTATAAATAATGTCAATATGCAGTTATAGTAGACTGTTGTATGACAATAAGCATAATGGTTAAGTTAATTAACTAGTTTAAGGTATAAATATATTGTCACATTTGATTTTTAAAACATTTCCTATGATTATTTATATTAACAGAGATAAAATATATACAAAATAGGCGCATACATTATTATTTAATGAATATAAGGTATAAAATATATTTGGTTGTATAAATATAAGATAAAAGAAACTAAATAGATTTTTTTTTAAATGATAATATATGAGTGACATTAATTATATAATTTAAAATAAATAATATTTATAAAATTAGTAATTTAATAAAAAAAATTAAAAAATTATAATCTTCGGTCATTTGAATAAATTAACAGTTGTTTTTCAAAAATCCCAATTTTTTAAAATTATGTTTCTGGAGTTTTTAAAAAGTAAAAAGACGAATGAAAACGTTCAACCGGGGCCGAGGAATACAATAACTTGTATAGTAATGGATTTAACATTTCTTTATTAATGGTTACGTTGGGTGCAAAATGTAAAAAAAAATGAACAGTATTTAGTATTTATTTATATTATTATGTTATCAAAATTAGAATGTATACATCGAGTAGAAATAGTATGTACAATTTAAATATAATATGCAAAATACTTAAGAAAAACATTCAATAAATATTAAATACTAAATATGAGGTACTGTTGTTAAATATTCAATGATCAATAATTCAAATATTGCCCATCCCCGTATGTAATGCCTAAACACTGACAGTATTGTCTATTCATATTGTTTACCCATAGTCAATAACATTAATAAGCACTTACCTTATTACATAAATTATATCATTGACGGTACCTATTACGACACACGGTATATCATAAACTATGTATTTATAATTTATATGTTAATGTTATGTAATAATATTCCTCACAACTTCAGTTTCTAATTAGGAACCTATATTAAGCACAAACTACTAATATTTCATCCACCACATCATATACAGAGCCAGAAATACATATAAATATATAATAATATACATAACAGGAATACAACACGTATACAAAAACGTATACAAATACCTCGCTTTATGTGCGGCCCGACACTCAAGTGTGTTTTCCTTGTGGCTTATATAATAATAATAATAATATTATAATTATTTCAATCCGAATTGTAACAACTGCAGTAACACATCATTCATATTGGCATATGTAGGTATAATGTATACATTATTATACGTCATAATCCGGTCGGTGCCTATGTATGTATAATAAATAATAATTTTCACTGGAATAATATGTTATTAGGCTATTAAGTGACTACATGAAAAATCCATTGTTGCGTCCACCATTATAAACTATAAATTATTACATAACAATATCGTGCTGCACGGCGTAATGACAGAAGTAGGTATACAAATATTACGACCGTTTTATACTATATACTTATATAGTTATATTATATCATTTATAGCGTTATCATGCAGCACCAGCCGTGCAAACTGCAGGTTACTCGCAATGGTTAGGTTAGGTGGCATGTCAGGTTATCGAAAACCGTAAATGCCAAATACACTCTCATTATTATTATTATTATTATTATTATTATTATTATAGGTATGACATTATTAGTGATGTGAATTATTCAAACTACACATTACATATGTTTGAAATACTGTGTAGAATTATTTTACACAATGTAATAATGGAATAATGTAATTTTTTTTATGATTGTTAAAATTGTTATTCGTCTTAGATCATTGGTCAATGGCTCTAGTTCATTAATATAGACCTTTCATAATAGAATTTTAGTGATTGTTAAAACAAAGGCATTTTGAATACTTTATGCTGTATAAAATATGTACACCTAAATACCTAATACATTGTAATATAATACATCGATTAATAATTACCGTAACACACTATGTAGCTTAATACGCACGGTAATATAAATAGTCTAATTAATACCCATACCTACAATTTAATGTATACAAATTAAAAAGGTCTAATAAGAATAAAATAAAATGAAATACCAACTTACCTTATTTTACATCACTATTCCCTACAGTGCATTATTATTATTATCCATAATGAAATGACTACGACGTCACCGATCGGCTGCAAGTGTCCGGTTTCCGAGCACCAATAGAAACAGCTTCTCTCGTTTACGGTCGTATATTAAAATATATATTAAATTATTATCTTCGTTGTAATATACCGCAGGGATGAATCCGGCATCACCAGCTATATCATATCATATCATATATCGAGGTTGTTCACTCCACTTGAATTGTGTGGCAGA